TTTTTTTAATAAAATTGTTATCCGCGACTCTGGAAAGTGTTGTAAAATGATAAAAAGTGCGGCAAACAAGCGGCATCTTATCGCGAGGAAGATGATCAAAAGCAATCGTTTTGTCTTTATAGAAGATTTAAATGCCGATTTTAATATAATAGTATCTCTTTGGATTCCGTGGAAATATATTAGTTTGAAAAATTCTGTTGATAAAGGAACATCTATTTTCAAAGAGTGAAAAATATCTCTTTTGTGTGCGACAGTTATGACCAGATTTATAGAAGATCTCGATAAAATTATTAGAACTGAGAATATTGGAAAAGATATCTCCGCGTTTCTTTCAAGCTCTGACAAGAATACCCAAGGATGGGTCTTTTATCGTTCATAATAATCGGCGCCATATCCAAAAACAATATTTTCAATTTATAACAAACTTACGAAGGAAAACTTTTGCTCGAGCTTTCGCATCTCGCATTTGCGTTCGCGAGACTTATCACGTAACTCATGTTGGGAAGTTTAATCGCGACATTTTCACATTCCACGAACAGCAGTAATAAACAGACGGGAAGTAACTCTAATGCCCGCCCGGATCGTAGTTTGCATGTCTCATACGAGAACGATCGATTTTCGATGGGCGCCACGGCGATGAATTAAGAAAGGTGATGGCTGGAATCGGGAGAAGTGTTCCGCCGCACTCGATATTTATGAACGTTCAACTTTCGAAATTGCCACCATGTCGGCTATAATTCCTTCCCTACCTCGCTTTTCTTTTTATTACCGCGGCGTAAAAATATTTTTGCGAGAGAAAGAAATCCGTGGTGTATTTGTTAATGGTGGATCGGTTATACGAAGTGTGAGCGGCCAAGCGGTATGTGAGACGGGCGACGAACGAAATAAGAGACATTTAGTTGACTTAGCTTAGGGTCATTCACTTTAGAATGGTCCGCTCCTATAAATTTGATTACGGCTTGAAATAGCATTCGGGAGGGACTACTTTTTTCCAGGACGATGTATGTATTAACTGCTGACTGTTGACATAAAAAAGCGGCGAAGAGAGAAAAAGAAATAGAGAGAAAGAGCATTTGGTAATTTGGTTCTATAAATATCTATTTTACGAAATTATTTGATGTTGACGCGTCTGTTCAACTTTGTTTCTAGCGTGTGACAGTATCCATTAGCGACACTGTCAATAGTTTCTAACCTTTTCAAATCTCTCAACAAAGGACAGCGAAAGTAAAATCGAACTAATAATATTGTATATCGTTTTAAAAACAAATTCTGCTGAGATTTGAAATCTCCGCGAGAGAAGCAGAGAGAGAGAGGCACTTGACTTCGCCCATCTCGTTATCGTAACTGCATGTCGTCCGAAAATGTGTTACAACTTGTCGATCCGAACAAACGAGTGGTTTAACTATCAAAGCGTAACAAAATTTTCCGCCCGCTAAAGCGGCCGGCTAATGAAAATTGAGAACAACGCGAAACGAGCGAGTAACGAAACTACCCGGCTCCGCGGCGGGTTTTAATTTCGCCTCTAATGCGTCTTTATGAAGCGACGAGGAAATATCGGGGTAGGAAAAAAAAAGCCCGGGAGGGTCACCGTTCGCACAACAGCGGCGATTCCCAGAGCCGCCGTTGTACGAACGTAGTTAAAAAACTTTTATATACGCAATCGGTACCGCTGCGGGCAGTTAATCAGTAATTGGCTCGTTCTTGAAACTTCATTAACCCGCGCAACACACAGCGCGTGAAAAAAAAAGGTTGTTGCGGAGACGACCGCGGCACCATATGTATTAAACGTTAAAAAAATATGAGAAAAGTTAAAGAGATTTGTCGCGTATCGTGACGGAAAGTTATCGGCGATCTAAAGACGCCTCTTGACTTTGTCGTCCGACCATGCTTCAATTTTCTCAGGGCGTCATGTTGCATCCGCGGATGCGAGCGACACCGTGCCGGGTGCACGGCAGCAATTTTGCCTGTTAAATACTTTCATTAAACTTGCCGGAATTTCTCATTTTGCCGAGACCGTTATGGCCGGGCGCTGCAGTTATTTCAATTCCGTTAAATGAACAACGGCATCCGCGAGCGATGCACCAGATGCATTGGACGTGTGACTTTTTTCAACTTCGCTATACTGTTTAAAAAGGCCCCATTCGTTACTAGCAACTTGTACCTGTGTCCCGTTACGACAGAGATGTATATATTTTGTGAAGTTTGATGCGCCGATACTCGTAGTCACATATCGAATAGATCTAGCCTCGAGCTAATTTCTCTCGAGATAAGATACGACAATGAAAATCGTGGGTGAAGCCATTACCGCTGGAGTATAGGCTTAAGGACCGACTTCGAGAGCGCATCGCGCATCAAGATTGCCCCGCGGTATAACGGGGCCGTTTGGTCTTAAGCCAATGTGTAACGATGAGCCGAGACAAAGACAGGGAATGTGGTGAGCTTTTGTCGCTACCGATTGTTATCAACTCCGGAACAATGACTCGGTTCAGCCTCGATTCTCGAGAGGCCCGAGAGCGGTATTCTCGTGTCTCGGAAGGCCTACGTGAAACGGTGCGTACACAGACGCGGGATTATTCAAGAAGCCAAATCTCGCTTTGTCTTCGATAAAATTAGTAGCGGAAATTAGAACGCAACGTTGAGAGATGAAATAAGAAACATCCGCAATTTAATATTTGAAGAAATAATAATTTAAGAAAATAAGAATGATTGGATGTTATACATTAAGTCATATTACGCACATAATTTGGAAAAGTTTAGATTTCTGAGAAATTAGTGAGATAAAAAAAAATGTTTCTTTTTGATAATGTATAATTAGAATTATTTTAGATATCGGTAAAATCGTTAAATAGGAATAAGCAATCCAGAAACGAGCGATTGTTTGTAAAGATTAATGCGATTAGTCAATTGTCAATTTGTGACAGCAGCATTTTTGATGTCGCTGAGACAGCGTAATTTGCGAGTAAAGAGCACCAAGAACAATTAGCATTGTCCCGGACGAACGAAATTGCTGGGTGAAGATCAAAAGCATCGTAATGTTAGTCGTGGTGATGTTGGTATTTTAATAAAAATGTTATTACGCAGTGCATGGTATCGCGAACAAAAGAACTTGCGAATAATTAATAAGATTCCGCGCTCTTGTACGCTTAGTGCCTTTTTGCGTGAATATCAAGAAGATAAAATTTTATAACGCACCGGAATGGAAACCTAACAGCGTTGCATTAAGCCGAAGAGAGTGCGACGCGCGTTACAAAGAAAATTAATGCGCAAGGAGAATGAATCTAATTGCTACACATGAAAAATTTACATAAAACTTTAACTAAATTTCGTTATGTCGACATGTGTCTTAACATATTTATGCAAATGATACGCATTTATAAAAAAAAAAAAATGATTAAACACGTACCTATGTAGATAAAAATGTTTAAAAATTATTTTTACAATATTATATTTTCATATTAATTATTTTCATTTTTGTGCGAGTCGCACGAAAGTTTTTTTAGCAGCATAACCGTCATGTACAATATTTGTTTTACCACGGAACGATCTTCCATTTGTTGCACTATCTACTTGATCTCGCGAAAGTTGAAATTTCGCTACTCATTTATCTGAGAAATGACTTCGTTACTCCGGAGGAAAGTTCCTGATGAAAATATCAGACTGAGTGTCACCGACAGCAGCGGTACATGCATCGTCGCAGGTTCCTTCTCGCGTTGCCTTTATCATCCCGAAAGAATACACCCGTTTTACGACGGTCCGTCTCCCTTCCTCCCCCCCCCATAAAACGCGCCATCAATTTTCCTTCGCTTTTATCTCTCTCTCTTCTCTCTGCACTCGTCCGTACTCTCTTTCTCCTTCTGCATAATCCACTTCATCTCTCGGCGAGTGCCGACATATTGCTACGTCTGGTACATCGTCTTACGATTTTCTATCTCGCGTTGTCTTCAATTTTCTCTTACTTGACGAGACTGCGACTGTACACGTGAATGAACAGGAGAAAAATGCTTTAAGATTGTTTCTTCATATCATCGAGCGATAGTTTACAATGAAATAACTTTGTGAAATAATAACTTCTGAAATAACTCGTGACGAAATCTTCTAATTCAGCTTTGCCATTTAATTTTCTTGAAACCTCTGCGTTCCAAATTCTTCCTACGATGAAGATAAAATTGATTTCTATTTTTAAACAAATAGTTTTTATTTCTGCCAAGCTCTACCGTGCCTCGACATCTTATAATATTCGATTTAAAAGAAGGCTCCGGGCGAGAACTGTGTGCGTGAACATCTACGTTTTCGCGTATTATCTCTTTCAGCCCGTCCGCCTTTGTTCGATTTTGCGAGCGAAACGATGTGTTTCCCCCGGCCCTTCCTGTTTATCATCCGACGTCATAGCCCGGCAATGCGCTTATGAAACGCTGATGGAATTACCCTTCCCTCCCCTTCCCCTTTGTCGAAGCTTCCAAATTGCTTAGGTTTTTCTTCTGCAACGCGCTGCCACGGGAAATTGTAGACATTATCCGCACATTTATATACAGTAGTCCGCTTTCAAGGAATTTAATATACTCGAATGCTTTATGAATGTTTATGAACGCAGCGCTAAAATAATAATAGAGGAACGTAATGAATGCGCACACACAAGGCTCAGTAATCAAGAAATTATTCCCTTAAATTCCTTTTAATTCCTACAAAGCTTATGAAGTGCTCGTTATTATCTCTTAAAATTATTATAATTATTAGCGGCACACACTTTGTATAATTTATCTCGTCGTAATAATTTCTATTTAAGCAATAATCTTTTAATCAACGTGAGAATAAAACATTAGAATTTCTTATGCTTCTCACGCGCGACGAGTCGTACTTTTAGTCGCAATTAAGCGGTGTCTACAATGAGCCTTAAGACTTAAGATTTAAGAAAATTGATCAATCATAGTCGAGTGTTCATCTCATGTGAGAAAAATAATCGATTGTAATTGATCAATTTTTTTAAATTTTAAGTCTCACTGTAGACACCGCTTTATCCAACGAAGAATTTTGCGTCTTCGGCAACACTTTTTGAGGAGCTACGATGTGTCTAACAACCGACGCTCGTATGATCCGTAACGCCTGTAGTAACCGTATTGCCCCAAAGTTTAGCCGATAAACTTTCCTGCAACACCTGTTATACGTACGACAGAGTTACTTGCACTCGAGGTAGAGATAAGTGGATTAACTTTGCCGTAGCCGATATCGTCGACGGAGTGGCTAATAGCCGATGGTAAACGTCATGTCTGTTCGCGCGCTAAAATATAATCGCGCCTTGCCCTTCGCGGGCAAAAGATCGAGTTATCCCTTCGCTTAGTCGCGAAAGTATCTTGTCGGGACTAAGCAGTTGCCTGAGCGTTATTTACTAAATTTTAATTACATTGAATGTCATATTCGAAAATCTTACGTAAAGCAGAAAAATTCAGAGTTTCAAACTTGACATAAGAGGTATTATTAGTTTTGTCTTAGTATAACAGTCAGCTACAGAAAATTAATAACTCTGTGGTTTAAGATAATTTCATATTAAATGTTGATTTTATCATTGAAAATTGTTAATTATTTTATTCGATACTCTCAATTATTTCATTTAATTGTACAATTGTATTTACCGAGTATTATTATGCTTGCAACGCGATATGAAATTATCGATGTGGAGAATGTCAATCATGAAAGTCCGTGTCACGCATTTCGAAGAGATCCGAATCACGTCTCGAGCGATTCACTCGCCCGTTTCCCAATCCGGGCGACGCTCGAGATAATTCGCGCTGCGCGAAACAGTTTTGCCGAGCATCGATTGACATTTTCGTGAATATATCAACCGAATATTTGTTCTAGAATTCGATTTGATTCCCAGCGGCTATTTACTCTCACCGCCATTATTAGTTCGTCGACTGTTTCGACGAAATCATCGCTCACCGGTGCGGCTAAAGTTATTTCGTCGAATATCGATCATTACTTCGTGCCTCCGTGCGATCCGTCGGGGCTTCCAATTAATTATTAACTCATTCCGTATTCCGCAAACGGATTTTGCAATGTTGATTTTACGGGGTTGATTGACGTTGTTACAATATTGAAACAATTATTTCTTTCGACAAGGGGAATAACATTTTTTCCGGCACGTTTATTTCTTATTTGTAGAAAAAGAAACGCTCATGCGTATTAAAATCGTGTTTAACCGCAAGTCGTGTCGTTCACGCGCATCGTGCTTTCTCAAACGCAATATATAGTAGCGATCTGATCAAGTAAAATGTACATAATTTCTACAACATTTTCATTTGTGTTTTAACTGTATTTGTCTCTATAAATTCATTCTAGTCTCCCAGCCACTTTGCGCGAAGCGCAATAAACTGAAGTCTGAACAAAAAGAAGAGATAAAAATTGTTTGCTTGATTGCTGCGCTCCTCGCAATTTTCACGAGAATCACGTGCATGCTACTATATGGTAGATGGTGAAGGTTTTGGGGGCGGAGTTACTGCCCGGACATGGTCCTTTTGACCGTTGATTGCAGCGGATGCGGGAGAACGAGGCGACCCTGGGACGTCTTCAGCAGCAAGGAGCCGGCATGCCTTCGGAGGAACGCGAACGGGAGCGGGAGAGGGAACGCTGGAGTCTTCTAAGGGCGGCGAGGGACGAGGCCGATCGAAGCCTGAGCCTCGCGGCTAGTTTGGCCGACAAAGAAGCCGCCCTTTCGCACGCACACGCGACCATAAAAGAGGTGAGCGAGTCCCTCGTCGAGCGCACACGCGTTATTCCGGATCTAAACGGGTTTAAAATCGACGGGGTTCGTTTCAGCGCGGTTTCCAAGAAATTCGACAGAATCGACTCGATCTCGCACATGTACTGTTACAATTTAAAGATATTATATAAGGAGAAAAATTAATTTTCTCGTAACTAAAAGTCATATATAAATTTAAATAATTTGATATTCCAATATCTAGTCAGAATATGTGAATTTTGCGACAATTTTCCTTGCCCAGCGATATTTTTGGATTTCTTGTTGACGGAGACCGTTCTAAAATGGACCGACGTCTCAAAGCGTACCTCTATCGTTGCAGCTGCAACGTCAGCTGGGGGAACGCGGCGGCGGCGGTGGCGGGATCTGCCTGAGCGATCAAGAGTCCCTGGTGTCGTTTCCGCGGGGCAGCGTGAACGGCGCCGCGACACCCGGAGCCGGCAGCAGCAGCGGCGGCGGCGGCGGTGGCGGCGGTGGCGGCGGCCTCATCCCCCACGTGAACTCCCAGCCGCCCTTGGGCACCACCGAGCTCGGCATGTCCGTGGGTAACATGGGTGGCGGCCCGGGTGCGGGAGGCTCCTCCGGCGGCCAGGCCGGCGATCGCGGTAGCTGCAGCGCGGACAGCGGCGTTCGCGGGTCCAGCGATCGCGAGAGCGGCGGGGCGACCAGCGTCGGCGGAAATCTCTCGGATTCCACGACGGACGGTGAGAATCACTTCGGTGTAGCAATTAGACCAGTTCTTTTTTTTTTATTTTTTTTAGTTGCACCGCTTTATCCGCGAAACTATATTGTGAAGTAAAAAGTATCCTCAGAGAATGGGGGAGGGGTGGGGTGGGGAGGAAGGGGAAGAAAAAGAGAGAAGAAGAGTTTTACAGGAAAGTGCAGAAAACGAAGAAGAGCAAAAAGAAAATGTATCTCATAAAGAGGATTTTGCTACGTGCAAAATCCTCTTTCTCTTTTGCAGTGATATAAAGTCGCCTTAGCTAATCTTTTCCGCAAGCGTTTCTTTACGCGTTTCTATGAATAAAGTCTATCAAGTATTTCAAATCGTACAACGTGTAGTCTGAATTTAATTCCTGATTGCTTAACAATAAGATGAAGATTAATGTCACGTTGATCAGTCAATATCATTTTTCAAAAACTTATCTTATTCTTATTTTTAATTTTAAGTATGTGGATTTGTCTACATCATAAATCTAATTATAAGAAAATTAAAGCACTTATGCTTGAATTTGTACAACGCAGACGATCTTCTCAATTCTAATTAATGAAAATATAACGTTCGTGTCATTATAAAAAATATAATAAATAGCGGCGCAGTAACACTGATTCTATACAGTAGAATTCATCATTAACGGTGTGACAACGAAAGAACAATTTTTGAGGAGCGTCGGTTTATCTGATGTTACTATTAATCACAATCGGAGTGACACCCGCTTAGGAGATAATGACTCCGGCGTTTAGTTGCAACGAGCCCCAAGATTAATCGTCTAGTCAGAAGGGATTGTGCCAGTGCGCATCCGGCTGAGTACCAGTTTGAAAAATAGTCCAACCGGCAAACCGTCAGTCTGACGACTGTTAATCGAACGTAGGTGTTGGCGGTCTAATCGAGCACACGCTTCCTTCATGTATTATTCAGCCAATCGCCGTGCCGTTGCATCAAAACGGTTTGATCGATTGGATTACCGGCAAACATTCGCGGTCACCGAAGAGAGGGTTTCGGGCACGATGCGCGTGCATGATTTTCAGCGCGAAAGATGCACTTCAGGATGCGCAGGAACGCTCAAGTTTCAGGATTATCCGAACTCTTGCAAAGTTACATTATCAAGTTAAACATTTACCTAGGATATTACCGTCTGATCACTGGCTATCTTTTAACGTTTCTTTACTACTTAGAAAAACTACTTTGTAATAACAAGAGGATTTTGATGATGAAATCACACACATAATATATATTTATAAATATGAATATGTGTGTATATGTGTATACATGTATATATATAGTTATACAATTATTATTAATTGGTGCATGAACATTGTTAATTAAATCGAGCACGCGCAGAACAAATTAATAAACCTCACAATAATCTTACGTAAACCGATAATAAGCCCTTTCGAATTTGTCACGCAGTTAATAATGCGGGGGGGGGAATTAAAAATTAATTAGCCAATTAAACATTCCAAGTGTAAAATAATCAATTAAAACTTTCTCTATTAGTCAGATAGAAATTTTCGCTAATGGCCGCGTCCGTTATCCCGTGCAAAAAGTCAAAGCGTCAAGTTACTTTGCACTTTCTTTGCACCAACATCGCGACGTGTTCCACTTTCGGTGGCGAACGATGGGCATTAGCTCCGTCGTCGCCGTCGTCATCCCCAGTAAGGGCGCCGCGACATAAAGAACACAAGCTCGTCAATAGCGGCGACCTCGAGGGAAGCTCGTTCTTGACAGCCCCCCCACAGCACAATGTGATGCGAGAGAGGCTCGTGCCGGGCCCCGTCGACACCTGAACCCGCACTTCCTCCCTTTACTGTAAAATTGATGTCCTTTATATATATTTCCGCGCAGGCACGCCGACAATTACGGTCGAGGGCAGCGGTCTCGACATGGACAGCATCTCCGTGGTATCCTCCGTAGCACCACCCCACATATACCAATGTAAGTGTCCAAGAGCATAAATCACTGGATCGTCGTCATCTCCCTTCGTCACTCAGCGCTCACTCCCTGCCTACCCTGTCCTGTTGTAACCCGAATCGTCACTGCTGCTTCTCAATGTATGCGTCTTTTTCTCTTTTCCTCTCTGACCGATTATAAACGATAACCCCCGACATTTTCTTTCGTCAGCGAAAGGGTGACTGGATCGGTGGCCGATCGCGAACACGTTGAAGGAATTAATGATCATGACAGTTTTTTGACATTTAGATAATTATTAATTGCAAAATATTTGTAAACTAGCCGAGAATCCATCGATGCTTTTTTTTTACGGATCTCTAAAGCCCTCACAATAGTCTGAAAAAATCAAGCGATCGCTATCGTATTCTGGTCACCCTGTAGTCATTTATCTCTTGGTATGCGCGTGTATGTGTGCGTGTCGTGTGTGTGAACATGCGTCTTAATATGGTGGAATGGCGGTACCGAAAGGAATCGAGGGCGCTCACCGAATAAATCATCGTTTTTCTCGGTGCGTGAAAGCCTAAGCCGATACCGAGGGCCCCCAAGGATGTCCTCGATACAAGTCCTGCCTGCTACATGGCCTGAATGCATGCGCATGCACATACCGTAAACCTGACAGAGATGACAAGAACGAGCTATGCCCACGAAAAGGACTTTTTGCACGCGAGCAGGATCGCTGCACGACGCGCTGTGTGTTCTTTATGTGACTTGCATCGATTACCATTCGCTGTGTTATGGGACGGGATATCGCTTGACGAAAAAGCCACATGAAACGCGATTTTCATGTGCAGTATAAAAAAAAAAAAGAGATAGCGGCGTCCGAAGAAACGTGAATGAGTAACAGCTTGTCGATGGCCCGATTTTTAATTTCACTCACCATCTCCTATTATTAACAATTTATCATTCACGTTCTTTCTTTGTTGTTCGTTACATTTGTTTTTACAAAAATCTTTTCGTATGCCTGACAAGTAACGTTCGCGCGACATGCAATCGTTCAGTAACTCACTTGTTGACGGTTTTCCATTTGACACGTAGGGCTTATATCCTCCGCGCATATCTCATTTTACATAACATTTCTACGAAACTATTTCTATCGCTCTTCTTATTCCCGTATACCGAGTGCTCGGCAGATCGTTGCAGAAATCGACGGTATACACGCGTATCTTCTACTTCCAGCCGCGACCACACCGAAAGACTGCAGCCCCACGCTGTCGCCGCTGAACGCGTTTTCAAGGTCCATGGACAATTCCTCGTTATCGCGATCGGTCGAGCAGCTATCCAGCCCGCTGGAATCCGAGCCGAGGAGGAACAAGCAGCCACCACCTGTCGTCGCACCTGCCGCGCATTCGCGATCGTCCGCCACTCGTGGCGGCACATGGGGATCCATTTCAAGGTAAGGAGGCCCGTCCCGTTAACGTTGAACGTTTTATCGCGCAATACGGATTGCGCAAATTGTCGCTCTTCTCGCCATGCAAATTGCATAAATTCAGTTTTCGGAGAGACAATTATTTCTTATGTAATTATTTTCGCTCTCGCTCCCCCTCCCCTCCACTCGTTGCCCGCGGTGATGCCAATTACTGCATTAATTGAGTGAAATATCGATTTGTTTAGTCCATTGCGCAAACATTTAGCGGCAATTATCGCCGGGGCAACGAGCGATACACTTTACACGTAAATGTGAGTTAAAATACATATAATATAATTGTTTTGTGTCGCGGCAAATAATTTATACGTGATGTACAAATATAACACAATGCGCGGCGGTCACGAATAATAGCTGCGGCATAACAAAAAAGTATTGGAAAGATAAGCATTAGAGAGACGACGAGAGACCACTCCATGGACGTTGTACATACAATCATACGGCTTGTGTGTAGCGAGCGATTTATTCGCGCGACGGTGAACGGTTTTACAAAGTGCCGCGACTTGTTCACATTGATTTTACAATCTCGCGCGCTCGGCACGTAAGTACAGACCCGGCGCGCCGGTCGACATTTTTGTACTTTGACGACTCTTAGTGTTACTTCGGCGAAGTGTGCGATTACCACGCAAGTCTTACCTCCTAACAATGTACAAACGAGCGAAATGAGTTCATAACACGATAGAAGGGAAATTGCAACTTTACGACAACGGTTACGGAGTGAGAAGCGATGCAGATCTCCGCGCCGCTAGAGAAATGAACTCGTAAAATAGACTGTCATGTAAAATAATAATATTCCTAAGTGAAACAATCTTTTCTTCCGGATATAAAAGAACCATATCGACTTTTTCATTACACTTGGATACTACGGACGGTATACCGATGAGACTTACATCCGCGATGTGATTTTATCCTAAATGATGGATGGTGCCGAATGGCTGTTTTGCTTTAGAGTGTTGCATAGGGACCTCGTATAATGCTCCATTATCCCGTCGAACTGGCAATATGAGGCACAGAAAGCATTAGGTTTATCACTATAACCAAAAAATTTAATTTCTAATTATTTTATATTTATAGAATCGATCAGAATATATTTATATAAAAAATATTTATTTACTATTTATATTTCCCAGATTAAATTATGTCTCTTTGCATAATTGAAATTTCTAACAGAATATAAATGATATTTTGACACATTACAATGATGTAAAAAATTGTAAATCTTACATAAAAAAGGAAAACACGAATTTGGTACGGATATGTATACCTAATATCAACATTTTTAATTATACCATTAACGCACAGGACGTACAAATAAAAAAAATTAACAGATATTTCTCTGCGGTTGGATATAATTGTTGCATTAATGTGAATGGATCAATGTTCTCCTCTCTGACAGAGTGTTCGCCCGTTCGCGACATCGGAAGACGGCAAACAGTTCCAGCGGTGGCAGCGGCGGCAACGAGGGCTCAGACGGCTTTGATCCATTTCGATCGTGGTCGCCGCTCACCGAGGAGGGTTACGCCGAGAAACTTCGTTTGCTCCGAGAGGCAGCCTCCGTGCCCATGGAGCGATGGCGAGCCCCGACCGTTTTAGCCTGGTTAGAGGTGGCTCTCGGGATGCCGCAATATGGTCCACGATGTGCTGAAAATGTCAAATCGGGCAAGGTAGAAGATTTATCACCTATTTCCAGCAGCAAACTTTAAACGTTTTAAACTTATTCATATAAAATCGGGAGATTTTTTAATCGTTATATTTGATTCGGCTGTATATATATGATTGATCTTAATCGTGCCAAAGATTTATATACCGTTCATGTCTTCTTTTTTGTATCTTAACACTTTACAGTAACAATTTACAGAACCGCACCTGATTTAAAATACTTGACGAATCAGTTAAGTTTTTATGATTGCGACGCTATTTTTAGGTTCTGCTTGAACTGAGTGACGCCGAACTGGAGGCCGGTTTAGGCGTAACTCATCCACTTCACCGGAAGAAGCTGCGTTTGGCCATCGAGGAACATCGACACCCGAGTCACGTTCGATATCCCTGTATCGCTCAGCTCGGTCACACCTGGGTAAGCTCCGAGTGGCTGCCGGATCTCGGCCTGGCCCAGTATTCGGAGAGTTTCGCCACCAATATGGTAGACGCGCGTATGCTCGACCATCTAAGCAAGAAGGAGCTTGAGAAGCTGCTCGGAGTCACGAGGAAGTTTCATCAGGCCAGCATCGTTCACGGTATTCACCTGCTGCGGATGCTGAACTACGATCGACAGGTGAGTGAATTTCCGCGGACGATGCAAATCGAAATAATGCAATATTACAAGAGCTCATTAGGAACATAAAGGCTGAATAATCAGTTCTCTATGAAGATCAATCGAACGATGTAATTTTGCGGTTGAATATTACTAACAAAGAGATGACGTTGTGCTTCTGTGGTAGGCCCTAGCTGTCAGGAGACATCAATGCGAGCAAGTTGACACAGATCCTTTGGTCTGGACGAATCAAAGGTTCATTCGGTGGGCGAGGAATATCGATCTCACGGAATACGCCGAGAACTTGAAAGGTGAATTGTACTTCGGAGAGATCAATTGTATATTCATTAAAATCGAAGATTTTTGCAAGCTGTAATCTAATATCACATACCATATATGATAATTGATTACAGTTTGCAAAATTTTAATATATAAATTTACTAAAAAAACGTAAAAATATTTAAATAAGTAAAGACAACCATATTCGGTTAAAAATGTTGATACCTAATTATAATTATAAGAATATTTTCTTCTTATATTTTTTTTTGTTTTTACATCTTTTTAACCGATTTTATTGCGGTGTGATTGCAACATATCTCACTTCTAAGAATAAGAATTTACACAGAATATGCAAACTGAAAAATCGACCTTTTACCTTTCACCTTTAAATCCGACGACACTTACGCGAACTATCGATGTCATTTATATTTAACGAGCAAAAAAAAAACTCTTCCACAGACTCGGGCGTGCACGGTGCTCTGGTTGTATTGGAGCCGTCGTTCACCGGCGACACCATGGCCACCGCCTTGGGTATACCGCCGGCGAAGCATATGATTAGACGACACCTCACCGCCGAATTAGAAGCGCTCGTTCTACCAGCAAGGTATTCAGTCTACTGTCATCCAGAGGCGACACTGGACAACGCTCACTAATCGGCATGACGTCGTCGTTGTTCTCATCGTCATCGAGACGGGACGACGTCTGCGGAACACTAACTGGCACCTACGAAACCGCGTTCGGACATTCCTCGCCTCGAAGGAATCTCCTTAGAAGCGCCTCGGGAATTCGATCGTCAATTTCGAGACCCTCTCGAAGTCACTCGAAGTCGCATTAAACCCCGCTTTCTCCGCGCTTTGTACGTCGAAGGAGACGCGCACTCTAAACATCTTTTGTCGAGTCACGCAATAGAATGAACATTCCTTTTAAGCCTATAGAGTAGGAGATATCGTTACCGGGTGGGATACCGCTCGTTTACGAAATTAAAGGGACTTACTGGGCCAGTATTGAGCATCAGTACCGTTTGTTAAACTTTCAAACTGTTAAACTTTTTCTGTGCGAAGAATTTATTCATTGAAACGTTATCCACTGCCTTTTACCGTATCACGCGTTGATCGGAAGGAATATAAGAAGGAGACGCGCTCAATTCTTCAATCAATCGCGGACGATCTCGATAGATGAACGACAATAAAACGGAATTGAGTTTTTTTTTACGTTCGCCATGTAGGGAAAAGAAGAGGCTCTTAGGAGATTTCTCTTCAAGGCAGGAATGTAACATGACGGGGGATGAAATCGTGCACGATTCGTTTTATTCTTTATCCCCCGATCGATTCACGTGCCATATGTCGACCGAAGTTGGCGTATTCTCGAAACGGCAGGAAGCGGCAGGTGCAAGTTGTAAAGCAACGAACGACACGTCACGCCGGACTCCTCACGGTGTCCAATCCACGTGCGACGACGCGGCCAAAGTTAAAAAATCGTCGAACCTGCGTCGTAGATCGTACTCGATCGCGATCCCCGGTCTTGATCGAGAGCGGTAGAGACTTTCGCTAGAGCATCAAAGAGCATCAGTCAATTATTTATTTACAGGAAATGTTTCGCGCACGCGCGCGCGCGGGCAAGTTACAGTCGGGAGTGCTTTTTCCACTTTCTCTCGGCAGAAAAAGCGTCTTCGAGAAACTTTCGCGCGGGAACGGAATCGCCGGGAAAATTTCGGCGGAGCTGCGCGCGCGTTTCCTCGCTTATTTATCGCGTGCGGTCGATACTCGCGTTTCGCGTCATAAAGTAGCATTAGCTCGGAAAGAAAAGAGAGAGAGAGAATTGTTACTGTATAGTCGCCGTTAATCGATAGGCAGTTACTTTTCCAGAATTTCTACGAGTTAAAATTAGTTATATCGTGTAAGAGACATATCCGTGAACTTCCGCAAAAGGCTTTCGTAAATCGACAGAACGTAATTTTAACGTAATTGCTAAGGAATCTCGAGAGGAAGCTGTAAATATTCCGGGAAACCGACTCGGAAATGAAGGAAATATGAAGGGAGTACACGAATTTTCATTTGGATTCTATGGTACTTGTAACACACGGATAATTAATCGCGAATTCAACTCGACCGGATTCATTTGAACTTTTACAGTTCCCGTAAAAAATCTCTCACCGACGTTAAGTGGACATCAAGCAGCGCTAAAAATTACTAATGGCCCCAATGAGAGTTGCTTTTATCGGGTAAAGCAAGCACACCGCGTAATTAAAAATCGAGCCGAAATGTGGACTCCCTTAATATATCTGGAGTTATAGATAGAGCAAAAGCGCGCTCGCGCTCGACGATCGCGATCGATCGATTGTCGAACGCGCGCGCCGCAAAGAGATACTCGTAGTCTTAATACACATGCCATACCTGGATATATCGGGCATACACACACGTAAAATACAGAATACAGTTACAAATACGACATATATATATATAATGTACATATACAAACATACGCGATTACCACCCAGTGGAACGTGCCCGGAGTACTTCATTGAAGTACTCGGCACGGTTGCAGCGCGCGATTCGCTGGGTCTGCAGTCCACTCGATCGCGGATCCACCGGTAATGTTTCTCATAGCTGAGCCGTAGCCCACAGCTGCTGCCTGCACTGCACTGCGCTATGTACAGCACATGTTAATCTTAGTGATCGTGGTGTAATCCTTGGTCAGATACCTCGGCCCTCCCGCCCCCTCGCACTACCCCCCTTCTGTACACTTGAAAGACTCTCCGAAAGGAGAGAGCGCCTTCCATTAGGTAAGCAACCCTTGAGCAAGATTTTTAGCATACTTCTAATTGTTAAATGAATCATATTATTAATTACCCCTTTTTTTTATTAAGAATATATGTAAGAATCTTTTCGTCTTTCCAATCGCCCCTCCCCCCTTTGACGAGGCTCCCCGAACGTTTCTCTGGCCAGGAATCACACCACAGTTGCATTATGATTCCTTTTATCTTTTTCTGATTTGCCAACTTTGATATTTACATATATCTTTGATTGTTTGATGTTTACTCTCGTTAACTGATTAGCGTGGCTGGAAATGCGTCTCGGTTGGTTCTACCCTAGGTGACCACCCTCGGCGTATTGGCAGCCCAGTAAAACGTTATACATTACTCTATATCGGTGGTGCACAAAATGCTTGTGTATGTATATTTATGTTGTAACTAGATATTCATTATGAGATAGATCTCGTTCTATCGTCAGACACCTACAACGAGCCACTGCCACTATTTATCGATCCAGTCATCAGAATCAGGAAAATTAATGGAAAGTACAAATGGATAAAAAAAACACGAGTAAAAATCTTAGTTGAATAAATGTTCTGAAGTTCGACAAAAATTTGCCATAAGGATCGAAATAGAAGTTTCACAAAAAGAGATACAGAGATTCAGAGAGTGGTTCGCTGTAGTACGTGTCACACGTGTGTGTGTGTGTGTGTGTGTGTGTCCGAGGTATGTGCATATCAGGCGGTCAAGGACGCCAAGGTGTACGCAAGAAAGCGTGCATGAAAAGGGTGGTGTGCGTGTGTGCGTAGAAGTCAGCTGGAGGTGGTCCCGAGGAACAGCATCGGCGGGGGTGGCCGTCCGATGAGCACCGCGAGCGCGGGCGGTAGTCTCGGTCGTGGAAGCAGGGCGCTGCATCTACAGCATCACCAGAGCTCGCTGTCGGCCCTCCACATGACGGCGAACCACACCGGCACCGTCGACAGGCGCAGATCCAGCCTCAGGGTAATGTACCGTTTAGATTCAACGAGGGTCTGGTCCGCGTACAAGCGCGCCAGGAACTCGATGCCACTCCCCGCCTTGCCCCTGCACTTCCCTTAACTCTTTCGAACGAGGGATGTCGTTAATTCGATCTAATCATTGCCGAGGTAATCATTTTTCAACGTGTATCGTTTTTAAACGTAGCCTCTTATGCTCAAACTTATAAGCTCGACAAAGCTCGAGCTTGCATATATATATATATATACCTATATATATATATATATATATATATATATGCTTCTCTTTTCTTTTATAAGAATACATAAATTGTTACACTATACACTGTAACTATTATATTGGATTAAATTATGCGATATAATTAGTCGGACAAGTCATTCTTATAATTTAATTTTTCTTTATTTAGCCTGGAAAGAGATAAGGATAGTGCGAGATACGTCTCTTTGAGATTTATCTCTTGGCGAGTTGCTTCTTTAAGCCTATATGCTTGTTTTTATCATGATCATTGCATTGTAGAAAATTTGATATTTAGAGAAATGATATTTATGTGATATTCTTAATATTTGTCTCAATAGGATTACATAAATGAATAGATTTCTTCTTCCTTTCAATCTTTAAAAGAAGACTTGGGAACGGTATGAAATACGATATAATGTTGTATTTGCGTTGCGATAAAGTTATTTAATATTAATTCATCTATCTCATGCCAATAATATATTAAAGCCTATCAAGAAATATCAATTATTATTTTCTGCGGTATTATTTCCTCGACATATTAACAATTAATTAGGTAAATTGTAATTAATATAGGATGAATCGATAATCGGTTATATAACACAGGCAAACACGCTGAAAAATGCAGAAACTCATCAGGATTCATTATTCCATTTTAAACGTAATCACAATTTATGTGCAATCATTTACTCCCGTTTCCACGCTCACTTTCATGTATCTCATCTGTGCGACTATTAGCTCTTTATTTTTTATTAATTATTGGCACGACTGCATGGCATCGCTTAGTTAAGGACGCTCGCATAACATTCTATAGCGAAATATTTCCCCCTAATAATCGTTACTGATTCTCGTCAAAGGGAAACAAATAATTCGAATTATGATCGACAACACTTTCGAAATTGCTTTATAGCTTTTCAACATTATTAAAAAACAAACACAGTTATATATATGATTATTGTACAATAATTTTTTTATAGTTATTATATTTGAATTTTTATATCGTATATAAATTTACATATAATAACTATAAAAAAATTATTATACAACGTATTATTTTTTAAATGTATCAAGTAAAAATTATATTCTTTTATCAATTATGTAGGATCGCAATATTAAATTTTTCTATACATTTTATAAAACAACACGAGCAATGAAATAGAATGTTACAATGTGTTTATAAAAATTAATAATTTAAATTCGTTGTATGAAAATTGTGTAATTATACAGTTTGCTACATGAAAAAATATCTCAATTGTTTGCTCAAAAAATTTCGTAGTTCGTTCAAAAAGTTTCACGAGACGAGAATGAATAACAGAATTTTCATGCTGTGAGCTATGAGCTCGACCTAACGTTAATCATTGTCCCTGCATCCTGTGGATCGTCGCAGACCTGCAGTCTTCTTTACTTGAAAAAGGTTCGGTATTTATTACATATATATCCATTGTTTCATTCTTTAAAGTTCTTTATATACTGTTCTATATCATAGAACATATATATCCTTATTACGGAGCCTATCAATTCGCCTGTGCGAAACGATCAATTGCAGCAAAATGTTTTTGCAAAATCTTAGATAATTGATAATCTATGAAGATTGATTCCAATATAATTATTAACACTTGGCAAATCTTTTAATATTAATTTAACTATTTTTGTTTTTTGAATTTGCAGGAGATTTTGCGAAAACGTTTTTGCGAGGGCATATTGAGTATGCAATTGATCGTGATCAATTTTTAGTACTGTTACAAGCAAATTTTGTAATTTTTCAAAAAAAATTTGGTATAATGCGTTATGCTATCAAACTCTTAAATGATGTATTATTAATTTCATACGTGTCTAATCGCAACAATCAAGTTAATATCTCGATCAGTCGTAAACTCATTGCCCGTATCCTTTCCTGGAAAAGTAAAATAGGAAATCATCAGTATCGGCAAATGTATCGGCAACGACGAAGCGTTTCTCTCGGTGTGAACGCTTCCTCGCTCGGAAAAGAAAATCCTCGATCTCGGCGAAGCGGCGGAGAAACAGACAAATTTTCGATCACCGCGCAATTAATTGAACCAACCTCTCCTGCTCGACAATCTGCAACGCTTCGCTGAGATCCTACGGACGATTCCTATGGATCTCGATCTCGATTGCACAGACCCTGAAAATGCGAGCAAAGGAGTAATCGAACAAAAGGACTGATTGTATAACAGACTATGGAATAATCGAGTAATTATCGTTGTGCCCGGTCGAGCGCGAGGCGCCTGAAACCCGCGAATATCGATCCATTGAATCAGCGTTAGAAAACCGTTCGTAAGGTAAAAAGAGAAAAAGACTGATGGAGTACAAGCCTAAAAGCCTTGCAGCCGTATCATCCATAATTATAGAAAATGGAACAAAAAAGATCGCGGAAACACTTCCTCTTGTGTTTCATCATCTATTTATACACCTTGTTTCCGTCTTTATAACCCAATCAGATTGCCAGACAATCTGCCGCGCTGAGAAAAGGATGTATACTTGCGCGGGTAGAAAACGGGTTTACTTTTCAATTACAAAAATGAATATTTAAAATCTTGTTATAAATCGGAAAATGTTACGGAAATATTGATTTTATTTTTTTACGCGGAAATATTTTTCGCTTTTCACAAAGTTCTTAATGGAATTATTAAGTTATTAATCAAATTAATAACTATTTTATTAATTAAATTGCAATTTATTTATGAGCTGCCGCGGGAATTGGGTCACAATTGTTCGTTTCTCCATATTCTGCGGCGCAATAAAATCAATCGGAGATATCGGAGAGGAAGGTGATTAACTAACAAAATATTCAGGAGACTATCGAGATATTATCCGATGCAGAGAGCCGTCGTGAAATTGCGCGTCCTCTAATCCCGCGATTATACCCTATTCTCAGCGCTAAAGGTACACCGACGTACGCGTAATGCCACACTGTAAACACTGTATATAACGAGCATATATATAACGTTAGCCAAACACGTGTCCTCCTCATGTATGTAAGCAGAGTGTCCCGTGTCTTCAGGTACCACCTTTATAGCGAGTAGCGATTAAAATTATGCATTATGCAGCTCGAATTACGTAGCAGACGTTCGTATTTATAGCGGGCCATTATTTATGATTGCAAATGGGCCGCCGCGCGGTAAGACCCGCGGCCGCCCGTCATAATATCGATTGTGTAAATATAAACTGACGATATCAATGTGGAAATTCAGCGTGTGTGGATTCTTAATCGACCTTATTTCATCCTTTTTTTTGCTAGTTGTCGTGGAGGAGCTCACAGGTATGCGCCACTAAATATACATTCAAGTACGTACTTATATATGTCCGTGTAGTGTGGCCCTCACACATTCCCACTAATCCTGTGCTCACCACTCGAATCATTGACGATCAGGATGGGCCCGCCCGATTGCCGGCGCGCACCTGCCGCAAAACGACGAAGTAAAAACGGCGCGGGCCTTCCTCTTTGTCTCTCGTAGCACGTGCATCCCATCTATATATCTACTGCTTTTAATCATTCTGCAAGAATCACTCTGCTACCCAGTGAATCCCAAATCTCTGTCTCATGTTCGTTGATCCTCTTATTATAGATACAGCGAGTGTCATAGCGAAATTTAGATAGTGATATTTCACTTTTGCGCAAGCATCACAAACAGCAAGACGTTTCGTTACATTTAATAGGTTAAATAATAATTAAATACTCAAAGGAAATATTAGTATTTCTTCTAAAATGAAAAAAAAAAACATCTAACTTCTTGACAACTTAAGCTGCTATCTAAATTTCTCTCTATGCTTCGCAGTTTCTTTTCACTCAGCTCACAATCAGTAATTTCAATTCAGCAACGCAAAAACTTAAATAACTTGTAAGAAACGTTTAAGAAAAAATTTTTTATTTTTCGGACATCTTTTAAAAATTTTCTTTAGAACGTCACTCACTCTTTCGCGTTATCTGAATCGATTCTATTAACACTTGGGCATCTCCCGGTCGCTCGTTTGCTCGTAGCTTCGACCTCTCCGGAAAGTCGAGATCCACCGCCTAAGCAGATCTTACAAGTCACAATCCTTTTATTAATCGGGACACATCTTTTCGCAGGGATCCCTGAGCAGGGCGTTCGGTCTCCGGCCTAGAAGCGAGAAGGCGTCACCGTCGTCGTCCTCGGACACCGGGAGCCTCGCCAGCCAATACATGAGCAGCAGCGTTCGCAGCAACTCGCCGCCGCCGCCGCAGCTCCCGCCGCGGCCGATGTCGACCGGTAGCGGTAAGCGGCATCGGCGGGTGAAAAGCATCGGCGACATCGAGTACATAAGCTCCGCCGCGGTCAGCACCCCGGTCTGACAGGAGGGTAGGCCCCATCATTCGGGGCCTTACCGCAGCCTGAGCGAACGCGGTTACTCCTCCTCCTCGTACTCGTCGTCCCAGTACGGCTCGTACTCGGGCTACAGCAACGTCCTGACGACCGGCGGCGATCAGTACCAGCCGTACCAGCAGCAGTCCGGCGGCAATTACTATCAGCAGCTGCAGGGCGGCTACTACTCGCCGCAGAGCTCCGGGCCGCCCTTCCCGGGTGTGCAGAGATACGGCAGCCTGGCCGAGGAGGCATGGTCGTCGTGCTCCACCAAGGGAGACGGCCCGGCGGGAATCTCGAAGGCTAATCCCAGGACTTACTTAGCTTAGCTTTTTGCCGCAACGTTGAGGGCTTGTTGAGCGAACGTTCTTTCGAGAGCAACACCACCGTGTGCCGCACGACGGTGCGCATGCTGTAGTATCCTCGGAAGGAGAATGTGCTGCATCCCCGTGGTTTTAGAGATCTCCCGACTGTATCTTTTACCTCCCTCGTTGCACGCGAATCCTAAACGATAATTCAGTGAACAGTTTATGCCGAGAGAAAATTGCAGGAATATCATGTTGCTTCTCGGATGTTAATCAGTGCGATTTGGCATATTTTGTATGTGGCTCGCTGTATCAGACGCTGTACCTACGTTGATTCAATGAGATAATTATCAACAAGCTACTAAGAATGTATCGCTAAATCTATAAGATCCTGAGCTTCTGACATTTCATGTTTTGACGTAAGAATTTTATCGACGATAACCTGATCGAATTTACAATTAATGAGGCGGATTTTGATAAGGGGAATCGATACGCGATTCTGATAATCCCCGGATAATCATTATCGTTACAGTAAGCCGAGAGATGATTATGCAAACTTGTTACGTAATAGACAATACGTTAGCTGGACAGTGGACTATGAAAATACGAACAGTTTCGGGCACTTTGCGCGATTATTATCTAAAGTTCTAATGAGACCGAGTAAACGTTGATGTCAGTTATCTCAGAGTTATTCTCAATTACAAAGTAAATTACACGTCGTACAAATACTAGACAGCATATCGTGATGTTAAGAGGCATAAAAAGAGTCTGACCAAATTTTATGAACACATCGAGCTACTACCGATATATACATATATTATATCTGAAGGAAATAAATAAGATATAAAAGATTATAATTATTGATCACAGATAAGATATAATAAATAAGCGAATTAATAATGAAAATTTTTCAGTTCAATTGATGTGTATACTATGGTGACAATATCTCACACAAACGGTTTGCCGGTATAATTTTTTATTGCTATCATTACGAACGGCATCCCTCTATCGAGATATATAATATATAATTATAATTTAGATAAACTCATTCCCCTGTAAGCTAGCACGAAAGAACCGTTATCGTGAGTATATCGTTAAAGAATATTTTCACTTGTGAATCGATCCTAATGAACGAATGAATGACCTCGGAAGCTTTAAAGACGTGACGACAGCTGGCTGAAAGAAAAAATGATCGCAACGCGGCGCGGTAATTTCGGTAATTCCTTGTGTACGTATGCATACGTACGTTTATCTGTACTTTTACGTTATTTTCTATCGATGTGTACGTCTGTGTATGAGTTTCCTGCAGCCACTTAACTGGAAACTTTATCGAATAAGCTTGAAACAACACATTCGCTGATCGAGCTAAGTGTGTTAGAGATACCGCGAAGTTGTAATCGAATATCGAACAGAATCGCCTCACGAAGACGCCTAGTCTTCCAATATTATATTCCATTATATTCCGCAACACACGGTGAAATTGAATGCATTCCGTTCTTCTTTGTTATTCTTGAGTCAAAAAAAGGAAGAAATCGGGAAATTCAATTGTCGCCGCGACGAATCCCTTACTCTATCTATTGACACGCGAGAGTTCTCCAAGTACCTACCTTTAAGCCTGCAGTCTGTGTATAAAAAGTATAAGAAGAACTGCTCCCCGCCTCCCCCCCAGACGATTGCGATTACACGAATAATTTTTCATTACGTATCTATGGTATAATTAATTATGCGACCATCGCGACGCGCGACAGAAGAGAAACATAAAGAGAAACATAAACGAGTTCGCGAGTCGCAAGCCAGGCGATTTAATCTATAAGTGCCAGAAAGATCGAATGTGCGCCGTGCAAATTTGGCGCACCGCCGAAACTGTACTATACGTTCTCGGCCCGTTGTATCATTATATTAATACGTACAATCTCCCCAGTGTTCGTATATAATTACGCTCGCGCGGTCGCAAGGGAAAAGAGAGAGACGATATTTTGCAGACAATGCACATATTTAACGTGATATTTATTCGTAGATTATAATCGTTTCTTGATATTTATATATGCGACGGCCGCGCGCGTGCTCGGTCGTCGAATCATTTGATTCTACGTCAAACGGAAAAACGCAATCAGGACCACACGATATAATTATATATTTTATTGCTGGACTAGTATTACCGTCGTTTTGCGAAACGGCGAATTAATACGCATAGCTATCGTGACGTTCGTGTACCTAAGTAATTTATTTATATAAATTAATTTAGGTCTGTCTCTCTAATTTATTTGTATACAATATATATTATTGCGCAACGCGGCCAATACCTCGCTTGGACACACGCGACAGATCGACGTGTTCGCTTATTGTATATTGGTCGCAGCGTGCGATCACACATTTCAATACAAACCGTTGTAAATGTGCTCAGTAACGTCTGTATATATTTGTGTGAAATGTATCTAAACACGGAAAAAAAATTGAATAAACGATTGCCTTTACTTCTGCGCGACGGATTCTCCCGTGAAATAATCATCTTGATATTTCTTACATATATTATTTTTTTATTTATATACAACCCACATTATATAACATGGTTTAACGATGCAGATAAATACCAATATTCTTTGACAATATCCTAATACATTTAGTGTAATATATGAACACAGTAAAATAATCTTAATGTTAAACCATCTTAAATAAAATATATAACTGACTCTCTTATAATATAACTATAAGTCACCTAAATAAAATTTTATAATTTTTTCAATATTAAAATACAAATATGAGTTCTAGAATTAATACAGTAATTTAAATATTTTTCTATTATTCTACCGCATTTAAAATAGAATAATATTGCAATCTCATAATTAAGATGTATATTTATTATAAAATAAGACTCTTTTAGAATTATATACTGTTATCAGTGATTAACAGACTTTCATCAGTATTTATATACTTGTCGTCGATGAAAGCATTAATTGATATTTTTTTATTTGCGGATACCTATATAAGATTGATTTTGTTTATCTATATAAACAAAATTGATTTTGTTTATACAGGTATCCTTAAATAAAAAAATACCAATTAATGTTTTCATCGATAAAAAGTATATAAATGCTGATGAATGTATGATAATTCCGATAAAAGTATGTAATTCAAAGAGTCCTATTTCATGGTCAATATCTTAATTATGAATTTATAATCTATTTTGAATGTAGTAAAATGATAGACATATATTTAAATTAATGTGTTAATCCTAGAACTCATATTTGGGCTATTCCACGTGAAGCGGATCAGTCATCTCTCAGCAATTTTTTTAATTTTGCACTTAGATATATCTATGTGACTGATCCGCTTCACGTGGAATAGCCCATTTGTATTTTAATATCATAATTATGAGACGTTATTACAATATTATGGCAGAGAGAAAAGAAGCGTTACATTAAAGAAATTAAATTAAAATTTACTCTTATAACTAGATTTAATTCTAGAACTCATATTTGTATTTTAATATTATTAGAAATGGATAATTATGAGACGTTATTATACAATATTATTGCAGAGAGAAAAGAAGCGTTACGTTAAAGAAATTAAATTAAAATTTACTATTTCGATTTTTGTGCGTCAAATTTTAAAAATACCTTCGGAAATGATAGCCATTGGCCTAATCTTTTTGTACTCGAATTGATCTTTTTGTATTCGAATTGATTGATACTCGAACTGTACTTGGCGTTGTGCTAAATCTGATATTTCTGCTGATGTGATTTAGAGATGTGACGCGTGGTGTAGACAAAGTATTTACCATAGACATTCCTTTTATTGGTTTCTCGATCAATGTTTGGCTAAGTCCAAAATCCGCGTTTCCTTCCTTCGAATCTAGCGTCAGATTTTTCTTTGGTGAATTGTTTGAAATATGATCGATCTTCAATTTCTCATCAGTCGATTTTTTCATGGCGAGATGATCGTCTAAATCAGCCTTGCTTGCTCGAACTGTACTTGGCGTTTTGCTAAAGGTGATACTTCTGCTGACGTGATTTAACGATGTAACGCGTGGTGTAGACAAAGTATTTACCATAGACATTCCTCTTATTGATTTCTCGATCACTGTTTGGCTAAGCCCAGAATCCGAATTTCCTTTCTTCGAATCTAGCTCAGATTTATTTGGTGAATTGTTTGAAGTCTGATTGATCTCCAATTTCTCATCGGTTGATTTTATCATGGCGAGATGATCGTCTAAATCTTTGCTTGCTAATTTTATATTTAAACTTTCTTTCCTTGGCCTTTCTGATTTCTCTATTAAATCTTTTGGAGTTGTATCTAGTGTTGGTTCATTTAATAACTTATTGTTATATATTTGGCTTATTTTCATTGTTATAAGCGGAGTATTAAAGTGACTCGAAAGATTTGACCTCACGTCAGAAATTGGTGTCGACGTATATGGCATCGACATATAATTCTTAGGTATTTTAAGAAATCTTTTATTGTGTGATACATTAGAGCTTCTTTTAGAAATATTTTCAGCTTTTTCATCAGCCACGCAAGACATAATACATTCATTATTTACCATTTGCTGTGAATTCTTTATGTCATCTTGAATTTCTGCCATCTGTTTCTTTTTGTCAGATAAAATTAATGCCTGCAAGCTTCGTTTTGCCGGTACAATTTTCTTTTTAGTGCTTGTCTTTTTCTTAGGACTAGTAGATTTTGCAAAATATGACTGATCCTCTTGCCAACATCTAGCACGAAGTTTCTCCAATTTTGCAAATCGCGAATTGCAATTCTTTACCTCTAGGTACATCATGTCCCAAAATCCATGCAAGTCCATACAAGTTACCAGTACGTCACCGTCATTTCTCTTGCAATCTCGTATCAAGCTATCAAACTGTTTAAACTTTGCTTTAATTAACATAATCGTTTGTCCTACTGCTTGGTTAATTAAATAACGATTATCCTCTGTAATGTCATCTTGCGATTGAATTACCGTCCATTCCTCGCAAAGTTTCTGAAGTTTATTTTTTTCTGTATCCATCACACATTTAAAATATTCGACAGTATATTTATTATTTTCCTCTGGTACGTCTAAATTCTTCATCTCATCACCTTTTACCGTAAGCGTATCAGACAGACTTGAAACTGAGCTTGAAATCTGATCAGAATTATCCAGTTTATTTTTTTTGGTATTATTTTTTTCATTAGTATTATTTAAATCTTTCGAAAAAGATATTAAATATTTCGAGCAATTGTCCTTTTTTATTGGGTTAAATGTATGTAAAGACTGTTGTAAGGGTGAATGTTTTTTGCTGTTCAACTTCAATTTTTCCGTCGAATTTTGCTTCTTTCGCGAAGAGTCTAAAGATTTCTGTTTGTTTGATAACACTTTCGATTTAATTGATTCTGCAGAATTGGAATTATAACAAGCTGATTTCTGGGCAGCGGCTTTCCGTTCGTTTGACGACACTTTCGACTTGACTGATTCTACAGAATTGGAATTATAACAAGCTAATTTCTGGACAGCGGCTTCCGATGATTTATCACGTGTGAAAATATTATTTTCGATCAAGGGGCTGCCTACAAACGCTTCTTCAAAAGATATCTTTGGTAATCCATCAGGCGGTTTAAACTTATGATTAAGCGGAGCAAATGATGCCTGTTTATTGATTTTGACTTCGTCATTCGTAGATTTTTCTCTAACCAAAATTGTTTTTGGTTTTGTTTCGTTATTTGCTTTAGCTAGCAATCGCTTCTCCGTAGCTTTAGTAATTCTCTTTATATTTGTATCTTTGTGCGGTTGTGTAACTGTTTTCTTCTTTCTCATAGGTATGATTGAGAATTTAGTCGTTGATACCGGAGAATAAATATGATGACGAACAATCCCAACTATAAATGGAGGTTTTTTTTGCGCCTCCTGTGCTTTCTTCTTTCTCATCCGCTCAGCTTTCCATTTTAATATCTTCAACTTGACTTCATTTTGTTCATTCGATTCTGTAACAATGAGTATTGTTCAGAATGACAAAATTTTCAATTCAATCAAATAATCTATACAAATGTGTGACAAGCCGTTTTATTTTGTAATAGCATAAAAGAAATTTTGTCTAATATAAAATTCTTAAAAAATAATTGTTTAAAGAAGAATTATAATTTTTATTAATAAATTCAAATTATGTTTCAATATAATAATAATTCCATAAATTAAAATTATGTTGAGGTATAATAAAAATATATTTAATTATTTTTATGTCTTGACACATAATTTTATTTGATTCATTTCATAAAATTATAATTATACGTATGTCGAGATATAAAAATAATTCTATATTTTTATTCCATCCCAACGTAAAAAAATACATAAAATTATTATTGCGACGTAATTTTAATTTATTAAAATCATAATTTTTAGACAGTTATTTTTTAAGAGTTTTACACTAAATAAAATTTTCATAAGTTTAATTCATTAATAAGAATCGTATTTTTTTAGATAATTATTTTTTGAAAGTTTTACACTAGATAAAATTTCTTTTATTTATTACTATCAAAAAAGTGCTAGTAAAACGGCTTGCCATAAATTTTATTAACACATTCAATGTTTATTTAAACTGTTTTAAATAGAATTACGCAAGAAAAAGAGAATCGTATTTTATTCGTCAAAATTTGTCAAATTTTTTTATCATACATAAACGATAAAACGTGTGCATGCGCTGCTTTTCAACTTTAAAATACATTATTTAACATATATATCAGGCCTATGCAAAATCCGGCTCGCCAGCTGAAATTTTATTACCTCTCTATTGCCTCGATAAAAGACGAAGAATAAACAAAAAAAGAGGCTCTAAAGGCTTGCTTGGATTCGAAGCTCTAGTATCTATTCTTAGCTGCGTTCCGTTTCACGTATGACACACATGATATAGCATTTTATTCTCGTTTCATTTAACATTCGGTGAACAAGGATAAAATGATATAGCATGCGCATCATGCGTGGAACGAAACGCAGCCTTTGCTGATTTATTCTCCGTCTCGCTTATCGAAGGTGACCGAGAGTAATAGTTTCAGCTCACGAGCCGGATTTTGGATAGGCTGATACATACACACACTCACACACACACACACACACATATATAAAGTTTATATTTACGTTGTCCTAATAATACATTATTATTAAAAATATATTAGCTGTTGCGATAAATATTGTTACATGCCTCGATAGTTGTGAACGGTAAGACACCCGTCCGAAAAACAGAAAAATCCAGGTTCAAATCCTGGCTGAGATAATATAAAAATCACATAAAATTTTATATATAAGATTTATTAATATATTACATTGTATAGCTGAATAAATATGACTTAAATTTAACAGGCATCTCTCTACCGTTCTACGCAAACTTTGTTGCTGCGCATCATAAACTTGCAGACGCGAGACAAGTGTCACTTGATAAACAAAGAAGACGTTCTTGACTTGTTATCTGCAAGTTAATGAAATTTCGAACAAACGGGACAAACATCTTTGAAACTGACAAATTTTCGAAATACACAGATTCTAGCGGCGTGTATCGCTGGCACTTGCATTACGATTGCATTAACTTGACTTACCGTTTTGCGACATCACGGAGCATGGCGAGACGTCGTTCCTCTTTCTGTTTTCCTCAAAATCTCGCGTTCTGCGTCTCCTACGTCTTGCTTGTTGCTCGTGACCAAGGCTAACTCTTATATTTTTTATGATACCGAAGGTGGGCGGCGGCTTCTTGTATAGTTTCTTGTTTCTTGCGTTTAACTCTGACATTTCCCAGCGGAGTGAACGAGGAAGTTCGAAAGGAAGGATCGCGTTTCTGTTAAATTGGATCGTCTTTTGCAATTACGAAGCAATCTGCGAACGCACAATACGTTTGACTTATACGAATGGTATCTTACGTACGTCTGACTCGTACTGTGTTTGAAACTGATGGGCAAAGATGGGCGGCAGTGTTGCCAACGGAGATATAGTAGAACGAACGTGTTCCTGAAACGGACGAAATGGACGTTTCCCGAAGGAATCCATTCTCGTTTTTTTTTTCTCAAAGTTTATGTACACGTCTACTTTTTCTCGAACGTAAAAAATAATAATGCAAACGAAAAAAGCATTCTGATATATAAGAAAAAAGAAGATAAGGAATAACTCGTTTCTATTTCAAATTCCTTCGAACACTTTGATCAACTGTAGTCGAAAGCGATTGGTCCACATCTGCAGATTCAACCGATCAGTTTCGAACACCATCCAAAAGTCGCTCGATCATTGGCTTACGAGCATGTCGAATTAAATTCGTAGAGCACTCGGAAACTATAAAAACAGACTTTCTGCATAATTGGAGCACGATAGTGCAAATATGATTGTCAAACAATTTCAGGAGCAATGCCGAGATAAAACTATTCCTTAAATAATTATTTCATCGTCCTTCACAAAGAGATAAATTCCTCCTTTTATTTCCTTTCGTTAACCTAACATCTCGCACACATCTTGCAATCGATAGCTCTCGGCTTGCATCACGACTGAGGAGGTCGTCGGTTAGGTCAAGTCTCATTCCTCGTCAAACGTTCCGTACGGACTGTCGCGCGTGTCACGCTATAGGTGAGCATATTCGGAGCAACGTCTGGCGTATGTGTCAGAGAAATCGCGGTTAATCCTCCGCGGATCGAAATCACGTTTTCCGCTAAATTCATCCGAGTGCATGTCTTTCCTCGCGCGATCGAGCACTTTGAGGAGATGTCGGTGTTACGTGCCGGTTACGTCGCCTCGTATCGGATCTTCGTTAACACAAGGTCGTTAACAATCGTAATTTCGCTAACAGTGAGATTTTTCGACGTCCAACGTTGTTCTCAAAGTTAACTAAACATTTGCTTTGAACATCGGTTTCCTTAGATACCGAGCGGATTGTGCGATGACCTTGACAAGGTCGACGTGCGGCTTGACGGATATTCGCCATGATTTATCGTCATTTAACGTTTATACTGTCAATTTAGCGTCAATTCTTAGATATCCGCAAAATACGATTTAATGTAACTACTTTCTAAGTTATAACTTTAACTTGCTGTCATTTCCTGTACAGCGAATGTTACATTATATGCTGCAACATTCTCGACTGATAGTTCTCTTATTTCATTCAAAAATTGTCAATTGTAATCGCTAATTTAATTTCTTTTGCATTTATTGCATCTCACTGTTATAACAGCTGTTGCAATTTGTAATTAGTGTCGAACAATAACGATCGTATTACGTCATGAAATCATCCGACAATCGTACAATTAAAAAAGAATATATTTTTGGTAGAAGCGCATTGGACGAATTACGAGGTTTATTCATACATAGTATTACGATTATTTTGTAACACAAAGATTTTGACGTGAGGAATACAAGTGGGTTTTATAAATGCCAGACGATTTTTATTCTTAAAGAACTGACACGCTCTTTACTTATGATTTTCTTGCGCTGTTTTATTATAGTTCTCTAGTCGCATCAAGGCGCTTTACGTCGACAAGCAGTTGCATCAAAATGCCGATAAAAAGCATTAAGGCCCGTCAGATTTATGATTCCCGTGGAAACCCCACTGTAGAGGTAACTTGTTCAATTTCAAAGACGTGATATCTTATTGAATTTCTTCTTTTATACTAATATATTTGCTCTTTCAGGTCGATCTCGTCACCGAGCTCGGACTCTTCCGCGCAGCAGTACCATCCGGTGCGTCTACCGGCGTTCATGAAGCCTTGGAACTGAGGGATAATGATAAATCGAAATACCATGGAAAGTCCGTTTTTAAAGCTATAGAAAACGTAAATTCCATCATCGCGCCTGAATTATTGAAGGTATCGTTTTCTGTATGATGTAACGTTGAACATTTATCGTATATACTATTTGACAGTTATCAATTGATAGAAACAATTGACAAATGAGCTCTTATATTTTCAAGGCCAACTTGGAAGTTACACAGCAAACAGAAATCGACAACTTCATGCTGAAGCTGGATGGCACACCGAATAAGTCCAAACTTGGAGCGAATGCAATTTTGGGTGTCTCTTTAGCAGTTTGCAAGGCTGGCGCTCAGAAGAAAGGCTTACCCTTGTACAAGTAAATATATTTAATACAAATCGATTAATTAGTCTAATATAAAGAGGAAATTATTTCATTGAATTATAAAGAAATTATCGTATACAATCAATTTATTTTTTCTTAGTAAGTTTTTATTTTTTTGTATTATTTTCTTAAAAAGAATATATTTTTCGAAACACTTTATACGCCTTAAATAAATTTTTATGTAAAGTTTTATAAAAATTCAGCATAAATTTTTGTCACAAAAAATCTGGAAAATGCACATTTTTAAGGTAAAACTGTTTTCTTAAAGTAAAATTGTTTTCTAAATATTTTTTCTCGCAAAAATTAAAAGTATATAAATATAAGTTTGTATGCAACAATACTATACATTATTATTGCAGATATATTGCTGAGTTAGCTGGTAACAATAACATAATCCTGCCAGTACCAGCACTCAACGTTATTAACGGTGGTTCTCACGCTGGCAATAAACTGGCTATGCAAGAATTCATGATCTTGCCTACTGGCGCATCCAACTTCACAGAAGCGATGAAAATGGGCAGTGAAGTCTACCATCACTTGAAGGCAGGTATTAAGAAGAAGTTCGGCCTCGACGCCACGGCGGTCGGTGACGAGGGTGGCTTCGCACCAAACATTTTGGAAAACAAGGAAGCTCTTAACTTGATCATGAACGCCATTAAGGTAAATTGACTTGAGATTTATAACTTGAATGTCTTTGTTATTTTACGATAATCGTTAGCTCGCAATAAAAACGTTTTTACAAATCTTGAATTTCTAGACCGCTGGTTATGAAGGAAAGATCAAAATCGGCATGGACGTTGCCGCCTCTGAATTCCACAAAAATGGAAAGTACGACTTGGACTTCAAGAATGAGAAGTCCGACCCGAGCACGTATTTGGAACCGGAAGCGCTGAAGAACTTGTACTTGGAATTTGTCAAAGAATTCCCGATCGTATCGATTGAGGATCCCTTCGATCAGGACGGTTGGGATTCTTGGACGGCCATGACCGCGGCCACTCCCATTCAAATCGTCGGTGACGATCTTACCGTCACGAATCCCGAGAGGTGACACGTGAAATAAAAACTTTATTTGCCATTGCGATTTTAAATAAAACTCGCTCGTACAAAAAAATATTAAATTAAACTTTACTGTATATCTCACGATACGCTGTTGCCTTACAGAATTAAGACGGCTATTGAGAAGAAGGCTTGCAACTGTCTGTTGCTGAAAGTCAATCAAATCGGTAGCGTGACCGAATCCATCAACGCTCATAAGCTCGCCAAGAGTAACGGTTGGGGTACCATGGTCTCTCATCGTTCTGGAGAGACGGAGGATACGTTTATCGCCGACCTGGTCGTCGGTCTCTCGACTGGCCAAATTAAGACGGGCGCGCCCTGCCGCTCGGAGCGTTTGGCCAAGTACAACCAGATCTTACGTATCGAGGAGGAGCTTGGTGCAGCCGCGAAATACGCCGGAGAGAAATTCCGCAACCCTCACGCTTAAATGATGACATTACAGCTCATCACAGCCCATTATCGTAAAATTTTAACAGTCTGTAATGTTATTTGAGTCAATTGTTTATTTTTGTGATCATTCTAAGTGCAGTGTAGTTTGAAAACATATTTTTCTTAACTCAGCTAAATGATATTCATGATATACATCATGCACAATAATAGAAATTATGCCAAATATGATGCGCTTGTCAGTCTAGGAATCGCCGTGAAAAGGAGACTTGCTCTATAGAGAGTAAAAAAGATGTAAAGTTTATATATCATAGGTCTTCTTTCTGGTTTTATTTTATCAATAGCTATCAATAATTTTCAGTTTTCATTTTTACAAGATATAATGTTATGAAAAATTGATGATTCTGTCAACTACATATTTAGAATTCGATAATCAATATATCGAAAAAATGAATATATTAAAGAAAAATGTAATTTAAATATAAGAAATGTTGTATAGTGTGATTATAGATATGTCTATATGTAACATATACAAAGAGAGAAAGACATTCGAAAAGATAATAAAGTTTTATTCCAGTGTCAACGTTGTGTTCAGAATATCACGACTACAAGAACTGATAACGATAAATTATACTTATAATGTCCCCAAAATCATATCTGTAAAAATAAACTTAAAAAAAAGTTTAAATAAAGTTTAAGTCAGTAAAAATAGACAATCTGTATAGGCTTCTCACCACTTCCACTATAATTATAAACGGTCTTTTTTCTTTGCATTTTATAAATTATTTATTATTTTATATACAATATAATTTAATATCATAATAAAATACAATATAAAATTATAAAATGCAATATAATAAAACGTACAGTGTATATATAATTATAATATAACATCTGCCACTGCCCACTTCTTGTATACATAAATGCATTTAACTTATTAAAAATTATTGTAATGGAATCAGTTAAAAAGAGAGAGATAAATTATTTTATTAAAATCTTCATCTTAAAATGTAAAATCTTTCAACTTACGACTATGCAATATATAATATTATTGTTCCACAGTTCTTACTTACATATCTAACCGCACTTATTTCCGACAACACGATATTCTTACAGAGGTATCTTGCAATTGCAAAAATATACAAGCGTATCTATTAAAATATTATCGCAGTCATATATAAATTCTAGTCATGTTTTGCTTTTATTTACACTCAGGTAGCGACATTAAACATTCAAATTCAGGTCTCATAGGTACGTGTGTGTCCTTTCTCTTCGGCCGTGTTCTGTTTATCCACAGGAAATTACTTTGCTGTGGAAAACATAATTATACATTCATAAGTGCCGCCGTTAATAAGCTTATTCCATTTTTTAATTAAATTTTCTTACTTGAAAGTATTCTTCAATCTCTTGAAGCGTACGATCCTTTGTTTCTGGTAGAGCGAGATAAATGAAAATCCCTTCCAAAAGGGCGCAGACGCCGAAGATAGTGAAGATTCCCGTTGTGCCAATCTGGCTATTTAGCTTTAAAATATTTAATGTATCGCGTTATATGTTATATTGACAAAACCAGAAAAACGTAGAACGTTTTACATAAAAACAAATAAATGAATATGTTTCTATTAAAATTCTGTCTCGCGGAAAAGTAGTGCTGTATAGTCATTAATTAAAAGGTTGCAACACTTTTTTGTTTTGATGGGTTTTGGAATGCAGTTTTGCTCGTGCAGCGGTTGAACGTAATTGATTAGATCCATTGGTAGAAACCAATCGCTCGGAACAGACTGTGTTGAAAATGATTTGAAAAAAAGTGTTGCAACCTTTTATAATAGTTGATGACTATACAATAAATTTTTAAATCTTATAATGTGTTGTTTTACCCATGGGAAACATTTGGTCATGAAGAACAGAAGTAGATTGAAGACAAAGAAGATGCATCCGCCACCGATGCCACGAGCTCTCAGGGGCATCAGCTCGCCGGCCATCAGTCCAGGAAGTGTCAGTAAACCCAAGGTATTTGCACCGACGTAAAATATCAAGCACACGGCCAACACATAGACCTGATATCATTTGTTTTTAAGTTTATTAACACATTCGAACAAATCGAAAAATGAAACAAAATCGGGAAACGAATACTCACGTCCACGGAAGATCCCTCCTTCCTGGCCGTCAAATATCCCGCGAGGATCAACGAGGCCAAGGACGTGCCGAGGGCCGAAATGATGCCTAAGGTTCGCCTGCCCATTTTAAGTAACAAAACACAGGAGACGAGGGAGAAGATAAACCTGATAACTGCCGTCACCACGGCGGCCAAGTAATTATCCACACTGCCGTTCCCTACGGGAAATAGAACGATAAAAATTCCCGTAATTTCTCTTATCTTATTATATGTACTTTAGATATTTCCGCGATACAGCTTTCACGCAAATGGAAATTAAAGTTTCACCGAAAAGTGATATTGGAACTCTTCCTCACCCATGTCCTTGACCATGTCAACGGCGTAAAAGACGATAATGTATGTCCCGCAGCTTAATTGAAGCGCGTTAAACACGTTGATGATGATCAATGGTTTCAGCACACCTGGATCGCGAATTGTGGACAACGCTGAGGAGACCTTCTCCTTAAACGAGGTATTTACTGGCTTTCTAGCGAGATCGGCTTTTATGCTTGCATCCAGAAGCTCTATCTCCGTGAGCATCTGATTAATTTAAACAACGTTTATTATTTGTAACACTTACGGCAGTTTCGCAGCTAGCGTCGTTTAGCTCGATACAAATTTCTTGTATTGCTGAAATGAGAAAGTTTACGAGTTTCCTACCTGCTCAATATTGCCGCCTCTGAGCCACAAAAGAGCTTTTTTAGCTTTCTCTACTTTCTTCCTTCTAATAAGCCAGGCGGGACTTTCGGGTATCAAACAAAGAGCAATAAAGGCCGCAATAGGAAGTATTATGGAGGAGAAGGCTACGACGTCCCAATTAAAAGAAGCGCCGAGAGCATAAACCAACAAGATTCCGGCGCAGTACGCGGCGAACGACCCGACAACCAAGAAGCCACGAAGGCCTGGATACGCCGTTTCTCCTACTAGAACCTAATGAATTTACCACCGCATACAGTTTAAATCAATTATTATTTTTTAATATCAATTAAATTTTAACAAATAATGCAATTTTTAAAGATAAAAATTATGTTAAACTTTAATAATTAAGCTTTAAATAGAATAGAATATAGAACAAAATTTTTGATAAAAGAATTTCTGATTAATTCCATTACAAATGTTTAATAAATGCATTTATTTGGATAATAGGAAAGAAATGGTAAATAATATAAAAGCTCTAAAAATATCGCAAATTTTTTCCATTGTATTGCAAAAAATAAATAAAGAAATAAGTGGAGAAATCGATCGATAAAATAAATAGTAAAAGTCAAACAGCGAACCAAATGGTTAAAGTTCATTTATGATTAGAGAAAAGTTGAACCGCTCAGAAGTAAGATAATCGCATTGATGTCATTATATGTTAAACGTTGTTATAAATTCGTCGAAGCAATGCAAAAAATATGCGATATTGATAATGAATAAATTAAATAAAAGCGTGTGTAAATTGAATAAACGAATTTCAATATAATTTTTTTTGTATAAAAAAATGCAACGTTGATTTACGTCCAACTTCGAAATTAATCGGAAATTTGTTTGTCATAAATGTCATACTATTCGAATGTCAGTCATAAAATTTAAATAAAGTTTGCACCTGTGCGGGCACCGCCATGAATCCTACAGACACACCGCAGATAACTCTTCCGGCTAAAATAGATGTCACATTTCTCGAGAAACCGATGATCAACCAGCCTATGCACAGGGGAATCGACGACAATTGAAGGCATCCTCGTCGACCGATCGCGTCGAGAAGTGGTCCAGATAACAGTGAGCCGATAGGAGTGGCCAGACTGTGAACTGCGGCTGCACAACAAATAATTCATCGCTTTAATAATTGCAGCATTTGACCTATGTTTTGTAAAGGAAAACACGAATATTCTATTCCATCCTTCCTTCCAAAATTTCCTTCCTCCTGATCCTGTTTCTTCTGCATTGTATAGCCAGACAGATGAGAAGCTTAACGCATTTTTCTCGTTTAGAGATTTGTGTTGTGCCGTAAAAAGTTAATGAAATTGGAGTTTAAGCGTAACGTAAATGTAGATTTATGCATCAATGAGCGAGTAACGAGGGGCCTCATAGCTGCGCGCCGATTGTAAAATTTTTACTGGCTTTGTTAAAACGTCGTTATTATACAACGCAGAACGTAACAAAGCAATTTATCGGTCTATATACGATCGCATGTGTATCCACACTATTATTGGCCTGGGCGTAGGATGCTCCTGTTCTAAATGTTAAAAGTTTAACTCGCAATGACACGATCATAATCGTGTCATTGTCATCACGTACGTGATTATCGATACGCCGGATACTGCCTGCGCAAAAGAAAAATAACGTACTGAAAATTTCTATCGACGTCGTGGGAAGAGCCGTTGAGTCGGATTACTCTCGGTATTATTCGGCGACTTAAGGGAGATAAGATTATAAGTACATTGCTGCATATACTTGAATTAAGACGATCATCAGCGTAGATACAACCTCCTTGCCGGGAATGAGAAAAGTTAGCTCGTATCGTAAAAATTTACATTTTATAATTAGAAGAGTAACCGGTAATACACACGGAAAACCACCAAGATGATAACTATTTTAACTTGAATTCAAGAAAGTAAAAACTTCGGATAACGCGATTGCACGCGATTGCACCGATAATCTTGCTGTTGATCCTTTATTATTCGGTATCCGATACATCATCATGAAATTGTCATTGCGGAATGCTCGTAGCATCAGTTAATTAATTAAATGTAAATTGCAATTCCACTTCTGGTCGGTGGAGCTTTTCCGAGCTATCGACATTCTCCGTGCATTCACGAGGAATGCAATCAGTATCGCACAGCAACTACTGTGCATCGAGTTTATCTTTTTATCGTGCTACTTCCGCTTTAATGAAATTAAAGGAATTCGTTACACATACCTTTGTCACAGAAGAACGATTTTACAGTTATCCAAGTTTAATCAGACAAATGCAGAACAGCTGCGACATTCACGACACTCACGAAAAAAATTGCCGCATATATAAAAGCACAAGTGAAATAAATTTATTGTATAATCCAGTTTATGATTAATTTAACCCGTAAAGGCTATGTCTCTTTTGAATGGCTTTGTTTAACACGAAGTTTTGAAAACAATTACGTTCTTTTTTCGAAAATTTAATATTACTAATCGATTGATCAGAAAATTTTACATTGAGAAACACGTATTTTGCTTTAATTTTGCTTTTTATTTTCAGAAGATATACTCGCGGTATGAAACTTTAAAAACGCTTGGTGCGAATTCGCACCCAGATGTCCTTTACGGGTTAATACATTAATATATATTTTAAATTTCGTTTTATGATTTTGTACGTTATATATCATTTTTCTCTTTAAATATAAAATAACATCTAAAATAGACTTACAAATCATAGATCTATGTCATTCTTATTATAAAATTTTAATTATATTTCTTTAACACATCGTATGTTTAATTTTCAATTAATATCGATTTTTAGTCGCCAAGAAATATTATTTTGCGGCACACCTGAGAGAGATCAATGTATCAATAATGCAATGTGGCAAGTATTTTAATGTTAATTTGACTTATGGAAAATGACGCGAATACTGAAACGTCTCTAATGATTCTTGGAACTTTTAGGAATCATCGATCATCAAATGAACTGTCGAATGTTGTAAAAGATGCATACGAGTCAGGGACTCGTTTATGATAGATGGCAAAATAAATTCCGTAATGGCGAAATTATCCATGCGAAAGCCACACGTGAGTGGCTCACGGATCGCAATTCGACTTCGCAATATATTTCAAGTGCTCGCCAGCAAACTTTCGACACGTACGTGATCCACATATTTTTAGGATAATCTTTAAATCCCATTCAAGCGCCTTATGCATAATCTTGTGGACAGAGGCATGAAAAAAAGAGTGATATATTTCGTGTCGTATCTCGTCTCCAGTTTTGAAATAATTGAAAAATTCCACGCGGCATCAAATGTGTTCGATAGTTTCATCATTAAACGTTATATTCTTTAATTAATCATTATTATTTTCTAAATTTGTAGCCCAATTTATAGGTAAAGATCCTTCCTATATAGCTTTTTTTTGAAAACGCTTTATTACTTTCTGTAAAATCGACATAAAACCGTATCGTAAATTCTTATGTGGCTTCACATAAATGCATGGCTCTTATAGCAGCAGACATACATATCTGCCATTTGCAAACTGTAAAATTGTATAATGTGCTGAGCATCGCAAATTTTATAACGTCATAAAATATATTTTCACGCCATAAGTAGTAATATCGCATTATGTGCTGACACTGTTGTTTCTTGCAATGTACACTGTACTTTTAGAATGATAAATGTATTTTGCGCAGCTCATACACGGTATGCACGCGAGATAAATGAGAGAATGCATAAGGAAAAGGATTAAAATTCATGTTACGGCCGTTGCTCTCGCTCTGGAGCCCTTCGTGTGTATGAAAAGGTCATGATATCCGACCGATTTAAATGACACTTATGAAGAGTACATTATCGTTTAATTATGGCATTATGCATCATGGCTCACATGCGGCTTTCAAACGGTATCTCTTCTGCATGAACTTGGCCTTGACACTTATTGGTAAAGAGACAGGTCCAATTATCCAATGAGACAGTATGTAGGTCAGTTACGGTAGTTGCAGTTTGCAACGATCGGCGACGGTCGCTTCATTTGCATGAGGGTCGTGATAATGCAACCTTGAACCTGCTTGTTGGTTGTTGAACTCGCAAGGTCTGCGAGAAAATCTCTCTAATCTCATGCATACAAATTGCGCGTACAAAAATTTATTTTATTTTTGATTCAATGTAAAAACGTTCGACGATACGAATCATCATCGTATCATTTATTCATTTCAGAAATGAGATAAAAATTTATGTATTCATTTAGAATTAAAATTTCCTACTTTGTAAAAATCGTTTAAAAAATTTTCTGACTCATATGTTTTTTGTTAAGAGCAGAATTGTTAAACGTGCGTTCTTACCTATCCAGGAACCAGTCTCGCGGTCCACATGCAAGGTACTGTTTTCTTCTGACAGTTGCGGCAGTAGAACGGCGCTGTAACCAATCGGTATGCCGCCTCCTGTCGCCACCAATAATACAGCACCTGTTACTAAACACTGCAAACAATTCGATTGTTAATTATTTGATTACGTTTGCCATTATTATTATACCATTATTATGCTACTGTTTCATAATAATTTATTCAACACAATAGTAAAAATTAAAGGCAAGAAGAAAGACACAGTCGCACTTCGATCAATATATTATATATATTTTTTAAAGTCAATAATCGTTAAATGCAGCTGTCTAAATCTAAATAATTGAAAATAAAAGAAAACGTCAGTCATTAAATGACTGATATGTGCACGTGTTGACGCGCGTAAGTCCAAACTTTTTACCGCGCGGTGAAAGATTAATGTTCGCGAGACATGTGCTCTTCGATTCTTTCACTGAGTTCTTCCGCAGAAGAACTGAAGTTATACGAGAAAGAACTTTGGAACAGTTCCCAAACAGATATGTAGTCATGTACAAGAGAAAGCCCGAACTAATCGAAAAGAGGATAAGAAACCTGTGGTTGACAACTAGCCAAGATTTACTATCGCTTCGCTGCTCTTTTTCTTACAAAACTTAAATCGCTATTATATCCCGTGGAATTTGTCTCGTTTCTGCAGCTCCATAGGTACTGACGTAAGCTGCTGCTGGGAGGATATTTACTGCGCCGTGCGAAGTCCAAGGTAAAATACGCTTTAGCAGAATTCTCACAGCTCGAGATATACAAATTATGTTGTCTTGCAAAAAGCAACAAATAATGCATGGCAGGCAAAAAAGTGTAGAGAAGCGTACGTACAGAGTCTTTACTGAGAGAGTAGCGCAGTTTTACTTACAACGCAACGCAATAACAAAGAGACTGAAAAGACATAATTTACATTTCGCAGTAAAACGTTTACGCTTGTTTTTACATAGAATTTAGAATTTTGCATTTTTGCAAAAGGGATATTGGTACAATTTCCGTATATTCCGTATTTTTCTTAAAAAATAACATTTACATTGTTGTAGGTGATGCATTATATTACATTTTTTCTCCGAAAAGATAAAACGAGCAGAATAAGAAGAAAGCACGGGTGATGAAAAATGGTATAGGTGTATGCTGTGTTTGATACCTTTCTATCTATTTTTAAACAGAAAAATGTTCTGGCACTAATCCAGAATATCTACGTGGATCTCGCATCGTTGAGCATGCAGTGCGCTTTTGCCACGCTGCAAATTTTCTTTTGTGCAAACGTTACCAGTTTATAGTTTATTTAGCTGTGAGCAATATAGTAAACAAAAAAAACAAAAGAAATTTTACACACAATCATTTTTTTTATAATAGTTTTCGACACGTTGAAATCTTTCGGTTTTTACGAAATCCATTGCTTACCACTGCTATAAGCATCACGATTTAATAATGAAATTCAATGACATTTAATATTAAAGGAAGTGTGTAGAATTAATCTCGTATTAAAAACTCGAATATAAGCAATTTTATGTGTATACATATTGCAAAATTAATTCCCACCTGCGCAATTATTCCTTTTGAGTTTGATGAATATTGAACAGCCGCTTCCTTCTCATTCAAAATGTTCTTTTCGCTCTTAAGATTGTTGTTATTATTATTATTCTCGGTGTCTGATGGGTTTTCGCTCATTGAATTGTAGCCCATCATGGCATGGCCTTCCTCGCTGTAAACAATTTCAAAAAATAAAAGTTTTCTTATCTGTTTTGATAAGCGCAATCTTTAATTTGTTGCAGATTATACGTTACCTCAATTCGAGAGCCATATTGATTCAACTGAATCGCAATAGCTGAAATGCTGAAATGTCTCCGATAATCGGCACTGATCGCGAAATGAGCGTCTCGTTCACTACATCTATCACCAGCTAGTTCTGGTTACGTTTGGCACCGCCAAACCCTACTGCAGTTTCCGTTCCGCATTATGTAATCCAAGAATCTCTTGAGACTTTAATCCTGGCCTCTCTCGGCAAGAATATGAAAATCTCCTAAACACAATAAATTGAGTTCTTACGAGATCATCACGTAGATATGCAAACCTGTTTTAAGATAAATATATGTCAATAATTTCCTAGTTACAACGCAAAAGTAACTTGTTACACATATTTTATGTATGAAGCATATATTTTTAAACGGAAATGCATAAAAAGAACTTCAACGTTCTTTCTTTAAAAATATTATTGCAATTTGTATTAACGGCACAATTTGTAATTCATATAATTCGTATAAATTGTAATTCGTACAAACGGCATAATTTGTAATTCAATGTATTTGATAATGAACAGCAGCAGAAAATTAACGCAAAAAATATCTTTAACATTTTCAAATAACAGAGATAAAATATTCATTTGCATGCGTCCAGCGTTACAATTTATATCTCCATCTTATATAGTTGACTTATATCGATTTATTTTCTTATATATAAATTTTTTTTCACGCTTTTTAATGATTACTACACTTATTTACATTTCCAACTTTTTTTCCAACTTTGCAGCAAAGCGTAGAAAGAATCTTGAGATCTTGTCGACTGTCAAAGAGTTCTCTAAATAGATTATGTGATATTTATATAATTATAATTACATGTAATGTAATTATGAAATTATATATTATGTAATTTATTTAATTATGATTACATCAATATTATATAATCTATTAAGTCAAAAAGATCAAATCCTTATATTTATTTAACGCAATTCATCAACGCTCTTATTTATAAGGATTGAAAATTTATCACATTTCCTAGCATTTCTAATGTCTGATAAATAATATTTTCCGTTAAATAATTTTTTAAATCGATAGTACATGATAACTGCGCGCATATTATCTATATTGTTAGAACAATGTTGAAACTATTAGATAAAGTCAGGGACGCTTGAGCCGCAAGTTACAATGTTTCTTTAATGTGAAATATTTATTTAAATTTAACATGTACTAAACAGGAAACTGATAAAAATCACAAATTTTTTAAGCTTAATTACTGTTTATTTAAACACAATACAAATCATACTCATATATTTCACGTTTATTAATAAATGCGTTCATTTATTTCTCAGGTTCTATAACATATGTAACGTAAACTATATTTAGAATGTGCATTTAAAAGCGTATTTATCAATAAAAATGAAATATAATTACGGACTATAATAATTTCAAACATATATTACAAATGTTGTGTTTTTAACAGAATTTTATTTATACATTGTATTCTTTTATATTATAGAACGATATCACAGAAAAGAATCAGGAACATAAAACGGATGTAAAATTTACTCAAATACTGCATTTTATACGTGATTCTCCCTTGGAGCTCTTGGAGTATGAAATAGAATGTATTCCAGAACTGAACGTAATACTACAAAATGAACGAGTATCGGAGAAAATAGAAAGAAAAGAAGAGAAAACTTACGATCTAGTTTAACTTCCTCTCTCTGGTCTCCTGGCTGGGAATGAAAGTCACGTGGCGCCGCGACTTCACGCGCGGGTCGACTCATTCATCTCCGCGAAGAACATTGCACTCTCGTCTACGGATCGTAATTCACGGTGTGGAGCACTTTCGCGGAAACTTCACCTCGCCCCGTCTGTCAGGACGGCGAGAGCGCTATACTTCGGGAACGCCCGGGCAGAAGCGAGGCACGCAATCCTCACTCGGCAATCTCGGCCGCGTCTATCGTCTCGCGTGTAACGAGCGAACTTTGCGAAGACGCGAATGACGCGAACGCGGGATAAGCAGCAATTGATTCCCTCCCCGTCACGGTGACTAAGCCGAATTAAACGAAGCGACACCGACGGTCACGGTGCTGGCTGAGAGAGTCCGTTTATCGATTACAGTCATTCGTTAAGATAGAACCTGCGCGGGAATACTCCCTGACTTTCAACTACAAACTAATAGCCTTGGTTTGTGTGTTTCCGTAGGCAATATAGTCTTTTGAATAATTAATCGAGTTGGAAGCGACGTCACCTTCGGCAATTGTCATCAGATCTATACACGCAGAGAAAGGATTAGCGAATGCAGCTAAAATATAGCCGTGGCAGCTAATGTGTGTCTTTAAAATAGGGACAGCTAATATCGTTATTGTCAAAGCTAAATTTATTAGTTGTTAAAATTTAAGCGCTAGCAAAATTTAAGCAAAGAAAATTTGCTGCTAGAATCAAATGACGTTTAGCTAATTCTGTTGAGGAATATTTAGCAAAACTTTTAAATTTTTCAGTAAAATCATTCTTTCCGTGTGCCAGTTCCTTAGCTTCTTCTGTTAACGTACACTTAGTACCTTAGTTTCTGTTAAAGTACACTTTTATTTTAGCTAATAAAATTGTATCTCACAACAAATATATTTTATCTTTAATAGCTAATTGCTTTTAGCAATGACAGCAAAGTTTGAACTGGCTACGAATATTTTGCTGATGACGCTAAGTTATTTTTTTTGTGTACGCTGCTTAATGCCATATATACATAGTCAAAATAAACTTCGACGGACTTCGATTTCCCTTTCAATTTGTACGTATAAGTGCCTCGGCGAAATATCTAATTTATGTACTGATAAATTTGCACGTTATAACGTAGCATTGCTGTTCTACGAGCAGTTATTTAACGAGGAATAAAATTTCGATTTTGCGGCATGTGCCAGTTGACAATGAGGTGACAATGAGATCAAATCTGATCGAACTCTCGATTCTACATGTCAATCTTCATATCGTGGAAATCTTTTCACATGTGATTCCATTAATCTTTCTTTTGTTGCGTTTCTCGTTTTCCTTCGGATTTAATAATCACTTTAGCAATGTTGAAATCTGCATACCGATAGCCAATGTTACACATTATAATCGCTCTGTGATTAAATCGCAAATTCTTTGTCACTTATTGATATCAAGGATATCTTCGATATCAGATATATCAGTAATATCAGTATTTATTTTATATATTTTAAAAATATTTTAACACTATGGACTTTCTAAAGGTCGGATATCTACTAAACAGTAATTCGTGGAAACTGATAACTTTGAGTAGTAATAGTGGTTGCACAACAGCACAATTAGTATTGAAAGACACGTAAGCGAGTCGCGTAATATTACAAACCCGGCTGACACGCATAGATATCGCGTCCAGCTCGCCTTACGAGTTACTCCGACTATACTGAATCAGACGTCTGTTGAGGCTCGCTCTTATAGGCCGCTCACTTTGATTAGGCCCCTTTTTCGACGATGACCGCTGGTGTCCATAATCCGCCATTGGGGCCTTGGCTCGCTGACCTCTGCGAGAAAAATGTCCGGGGACTCTCTTTTCTCAATGGAGGTAATAAGTGGAAGCCGGTTCGAGCGGAAGCGCTTCAAATGGCGTACGATGCGTGTGCAAAAATAGCTGATACTCCGACATATCTTTATTGTTTCCAAGAGAGATGAGTGAGATAATTTGAACAATTAAGCTGCGATGTTATTCGAACGAAGACACGGTTTAATTTCGTCCTCGCGTTCTTACAGTTTAATATTTCTAAATCGTTCACGTGTTCTTCACGTTTCCAACTCTCTGTCTCTACTTAATTGAATATATAAAATTATAAAAATTTCTTCAGTTATACAAAGTGTTGAGTCTCTTTCTCTCCTCTCGCTCGAACCGGCTTCCATTTATTACCATCCATTGAGAAAAGAAAATCGTCGGACATTTTCTCACAGAGGTCAACAAATATCTGCATATCTGCCATTATGTAACAAAAACAAGATATAATAAAAGTTGCTTATCAGCGTAACTTCACTAGAGCCGCGTGACTTTATCAGTCAAACTTTACGATTGTATGTAAACATAAATGTATGAATGCTCACATACAATGCCGATTTTTTTATATAATAACAGATTTAGTATTTATAAAACAACTATGTTAATACAGCACATAAACTTTTTATTACCGTAAAAAGTTTTATCAGGTATTGTATGATTCTTATAAACTAATTTTATTTACCGACAATTTTTTGTAAACTTTAATATCTTTAACATTTTTACTTTAGAAAACAAAATTCTTCTTTTATGTATAATTCTGCAAATCAATTCTTGCACATGTGTACTTTTGTGATGATATATTATATATTATCATAAATATTCTTATTTATTGCATGTATGCATAAAAACGATTTTGTTGAAGTATTTAATAATTTTGCTAGAATGAAAATAATTATGTTGTACCATTAAAGTAATTACGTAGGACGCTTCAGCATAATAATAATGTTGTAAAACGTTTCGACATTTTCGCAGTTTGAGTGTCGAAAACATGATATAATTATAATTATTATAACATGATATAATTATTTTGATAATCCAACGTAACTATATTTTTTCAGAACTAGCTAAATTTTTAGATACTTCAGTAAAATCGTTTTTTCCGTACAAAACAAGCTTATAAGCGTTTTTCCTGTTTTGACGTACAGCCGGACGTAGGAATGCTATTATCTACATATCTTTAGCGTGATATCTGTGAGGCTGTCACTCTCGCAATTGGTTCACGCGATAAATCGACGGATACTTCGAGGAATGTACAATTAAAACATACATTAAAAATTACGGGGAAATCTCGCGTAACAATGATAATGTCATAATTCCGTCAGAAATAACGGAGATTGATGAAGGTGTTTATGTATTTCTCAATTAACGCTCGACGTTGCTTTGTGAACTTTCGGCATCAAGATCGATTATTCGAATTAATTCATGTTAAATTAGCAACTGTTTGTCCTTTTTGGATTATCGTGTCCCTGTACAAGAAAAGGAAGATTAATTAATGTCAGCTTAATTAATATCATGCAACGTTATGAAAGGTATTTAAGGTTCAGCAAGATCGGAGCCACACGATGTCGGCTAGAATGTCTAGAATACAGAGGGATACTGTGTACTCCCCACATCTATGCCGGATATACAAGGGGGGTAGTTCTGTGGATATTCTCTGTAATTATGGGCCGCCGGCTATTTGGAATTAATCGGGTCACCTGTATTGCTCGCAGTGACAATCAACGCTAATTACGTCCGCTAGCAATAGAGTTATTTGAGAAATTGATCAAGCTGCCTTTTAATAAAATAAGATTGTGTTGATGCAAATCAAAATAATTACTAAATTTTATCTATCAGTTGTACTAAGTCATGATTTTTCTTTGAAAGCTTTGAAGAAATATATAAACTAGAGGAATCTCACACACACAAACTCACACACAGTTTTATGGAAAATTAGTTGCAGAAAGTTTTCCGGAATAGTAAGATGAAGAAAAGTAAAATCTATCATTATTTCTAGCAATTTATGCGATCAATATAGAACTTATACATCTTATGTAAAGAGCAAGATAAATTGCTTTGCGGGAACTCTCCAATAGCGGAGAATTCAGATTAGTCAATTAAGCCTTTTTGTTCGATTTATATTTTAATCGATGCTATAACGTACCGGATTCGAAAAATTAAAGTTAATTAACCGAGTCTGTTAATGTAATAATTACGATTAGCCCCAAGCTATGAATTTATCAAATTAAGGCGAAAAAAATCAAATTACTTTTAATTATGTTATTTATGCACAGAATTGTAATAATTATCTTGTAAAATTTCATGTCCGCATAATCGGCATAATGAGTGAATCGCTAATTGCATGGATCGTTTCATTTTGTTTGCATATTATATGGAAATTCCAAATCCGGGTTAACCGATTACACTCGTGGACAATGTTATTGCCTAATAACCGTAATGCTAATTATTCTCTCGTTTGCTCGATATACTATTGAAATTATGTTCTTTGGTACGAAACCATATAAATTATTAAAGCGAGAAATAATTTATATGATACGTATGTATCGCATATTTAACTCTCGGTGTCATAGGTGGGACGTGGCATATCCCAGCAAAATTTAAACTTCTAATAACTTTTAAAAAATATTGCGCGATAGTTTCAAACAAATAGAATGTTATGACAGTCGGAATTATTATCGTACTAAATTAGTTTACTTAAAGTAAATATAACATGAGACACGACATCCCACATGAGTTCGCTATGTTGATTTTTTCCACCTAGGACATCGAGAGTTAAAATATTTAAAGACATTTTGAGTCGACTATCTCATTTACCATAAAAATAATATGATAATGCTGCACGATATTGCAACACAAAATAATTTTGCGCCTGTAATTCGACATTTGCAGTGCCGATGGACCGACAAGCGAATCCACAAACGAGTCTCGATAAACGGCCACCACCTTCAATTACAGCCGGCGGAAGGGCCGACACGGCGCGACGCTCGTTCGAGCGAAGTGTCATCTTTATCGTACCATCAAGAATCATCCAGCGTGCTGCCGAACGTTTGCCCATTAATGCCTCGCGGTAACCTTGACCCGATATTCAAATAACTAGTCGACAAGGCTAACGACTCGACCTGGCGGATTAGATCGAGACTGCCTCGGTAACGTGCATACGTAGCCGTGTCGTTTGTATACATGCACAATCGTTCGCGGAGCGCCCACCGAGAGAGCTCTTCCTAGATTTATGGACCACAAAGTGGTCCAGGGTCGCGTCTACTTGCCGCTCACTGATGCAGACGAAAGTGAAGCCGCGATAACAATTACGACGATTTCATCGCGGCTCCCTCAAGTGCAAATGTGCATGTCATGATCAAATGTGTGAGCGTTTAATTCTTACCTTCGATTTGCTTTGATATTATCAGGGCGACTGACCATGTAAGCTGCTAATAACGCTTGGTTAAAAGAATATTTTCCATTTTACATAATAAAATTAATTAATGCGCGTGTCCTTCTTAATTTTTTAATTTAATTTATGCATCAAAAATACAAACGGGTTTATGTAATCAAAATAATAAGTTAAAAAAAGGCTCAATAAATTAACAAAATTAATAAATAAAATATAGGCTATGAGCTGAGTATTTAATGCTCCAATATAATATAATAAGTTAAATAACAATAAATAATATGATCAACACAAACGTTTTGACCCGCATCGAGTTATTCTCAATGTTAAGAACAATAAAATTAATACATAGAAATTTAAATGAGAAACGGTAACATAAAAAGTCTGTACATTGATAAAAACTCTTGTTCGAGAAAGATAAAATATTGCAACATCATCTAAAAACAAATATTTAGGCGCAAATCCTCGAAATTATCTTATAACAATTAGTGGATAGTCGTGAAGCCGCGATAACAATTACGACAATTTCATCACGGTTCCTTCAAGTGTAAATGTGCATGTCATGATCAAACGTGTGGGCGTTTAATTCTTATCTTCGAGTTGCTTTGATATTATCAGGGTGACTGACCGTGTAAGCTGCCAATAACGCATGGCTAAAAGGATATTTTTCGTTTCACGTAAAATTAACGTGCGTGTCTTTCTTAATTTTTTTATTAATTTATACATCCAAAATACAAACGGATTTATATACTCAATCTTTCATTATATTATCGATAATACCTTTCTTTGTTCTTCAGTATTCAGCCATAGCACATCTGCGTGCATTGACGCATTGCAGATTCGTCATGCATATTTATGTATGGTTTTTCAGGGCAAGTCGATCATCATTCGTAACTGTTGGAGCTTAAGAGCTTAGATTAGATAGCAGGAAGCGACGTACAATTCGGCGGATCCTGCTCCTATATCTCTCACGACCGAACTAGCGCAAGGTCGTAGCCAGCGGTTTCCCGTCAAGAATCTTCTTGCCAAGAGAAATCTCTGCTTCTTGCAGTCCGTTTTCTTCTGTAATCCGTTCTTTCATTTTAACTCTCTTTCTCTGACATATTCCAGATTACGGCGTGTGAAGCTTTAACTTACGTTCGCTTTTATCACGCGAAGTTCTATAAACGCGCAGAAATCGATCATTTCGCTCTTCTCAAATAAAACAACAGTGTAGTTAAAATTAAAATTTTTAGAGCGTGATTCAAGACTTCATGCTGTCTACTTATTTTGCACATTATTTATTTATTTTTAAAAACTTAATTCGACAAAATATGTATTTTCCCTTTAAAGTTAAATAACCGTGCCATTTAATGCGTAAGAGCAAGAGCTGCATAAGAAGAAATAATCCTTAATTATAATTAAGAAAAAAAATTCTCGCTAACCACTTATAGGAAAACGTATAAGAAATCAGAATATATTTTTCTCTGTCAGTATTTATCATGAAATTC